TCTACAAAGGCGAAGGAAATGTTTTTAACATACCATGACATATTTGGAACCGATGAAACCGATCTAGGATGTACTGACTTATTGCAGCACAGTATTCCAACACCTGACGGCCTAGTAATAAATGAACCGTACCGAAGAATACCACCTGCCATTTTCGAAGAAGTAAAGGAGCACATAGACACACTGATAGAAAAGAAAGTCATTAGACCCAGCAACAGTTCTTTTGCCAGTCCAGTGGTGATCGTTAGGAAGAAGAATAAATCTATACGCCTGTGTGTGGACTACAGACGCTTGAATCAACACACCACTAGAGATTCTTTTCCACTTCCAAGAATCCAAGAGAGCATGGATTCCCTTCTAAACTCGAAGATATTCAGCTGCATCGACCTCCAAAGTGCTTATTTGCAAGTGAAAGTCATCGATGAAGATATCCACAAAACTGCATTTACTACTCCTCTAGGACTATACGAATATATGAGAATGCCATTTGGACTATCTAATGCGCCTTCAACATACCAACGACTCATGACGATTGCATTTCGTGAAGAGCTTTTCAAAACTGTTCTCTGTTATTTAGATGATCTACTCGTATACTCCTCTTCAATCAGTGAAAACATTGACAGACTTGAAACAGTTTTCAAGATACTAAAGAAACATAATCTCAAATTGGAACTACGAAAATGCCATTTCTTCAAAACAGAAGTAATCTACTTGGGACACAAAGTTTCAGGAGAAGGAATTCAACCAGACCCATCCAAGATAGATCAGATTGTCAACTGGAAGGAACCAAAGACTTTAAACGACTTGAGAAAATTCCTAGGAACTGCAGGATATCACAGACGTTTCATCAAATCCTATGCTTCTGTAGCTCAACCCCTACATGATCTTGTAAAGAAGGTTCTCAACAAATCCAGCAAAAAGACAGCAAACATAGAGAAACTTTGGACTTCAGAATGTAAAGCTGCTATGGAGATGATCAAGGAAAGACTAACAACAGCACCATGTCTAGGCTTTGCAGATTATTCCAAACCATTTATACTCGAAACCGATGCTTCCAATACGGGCCTTGGAGCCGAACTTTTCCAACTTCAAGATGGCAGAATGAGAGTAATAGGTTATGGCAGTCGATCACTCCGAGGTGCAGAGAGAAATATGAAAAACTACTCATCCAAGAAACTAGAACTTCTCGCACTTAAATGGGCCATAACAGAGAAATTTCGAGACTTCTTACTAGGAACCAAGTTCACTGTATTCACAGACAATAATCCCTTAACGTACATCATGCACAAGAAGAGACTACCTGCTTTGGAACAGCGATGGATATCTGATCTGGCGAGTTTTGATTTCGACATCAAATACAAACCTGGGAAAACCAACACAGCTGCAGACTGCCTATCTAGACTAGAACATGACTCGGAAGAAGATGATAGAGAAGAAGATTTCGAAGTTAGTGCAATGCAGATACTTGCCAAACAGTGTGACATCACATACTTACCTGAGATGGAAGAAATAAAAGAAGCCAAACAAAAAGATGTTGCAGCACTACAAATAGAAGCAGAAATATCGCAAGATGTAGCATCTTCATTTCTACCAACAATAACAAAGGATGGTTACAGAGAATTACAGCAAAATGACAAGGACATCGCTCTCATAACTGAGATGGTAAAAGTAAATTACAAACCTACTTCAAAAGCAATGAAGAAACTCACAAAAAGTCAAAGAAAATTGGTTAAACAGTTGAAAAGCCTTGTAATGATAGATGAAATCCTGTACAGAAAATCACACTTTAATGACACTTCTGTATTCCAAGCTGTTGTACCAGATGTTCTGAAGGAAGAAGTTCTTAAGTCACTACATGACTTCACAGGACACCAAGGAGTAGAACGAACAGAGAAGCTCATCAGACAAAGATTTTATTGGACAGAACTTCATCAAGATGTCACAGAATATATCACAACCTGTAGCAGATGTCTGTTCGGAAAGATGCCTTACCAGAAAGTCATCACACCTTTAGGCAGACTTACAGCGAATAGACCATTAGATCTAGTCTTTATTGACTTTACTCTTCTTGAAAAAGCATCCAATGGAATGGAAAATGTACTTGTGATCACAGACGCATTCACAAAGTTCACAATCACAGAACCCACCAGAGATCGAAAAGCTGAGACTGTAGCTAAAGTACTAGTGAGGTCATTTATCCAGATATTTGGCATCCCACACAGAATACATAGCGACCAAGGAAGAAACTTCGAGAGTGAGGTCATCAAGTGTCTTTGTAAGATGTATAATATAGAAAAATCAAGAACAACGCCATACCACCCCTCAGGAAACGGCCAATGCGAAAGATTTAATAGGACGCTTCACAACCTTCTGATATCTCTTGAACAAGACAAGAAGAGAAGATGGCCTGGTTATATCAAAGAACTGACCTACTGTTATAACACAACACAACACAGTTCTACGGGATACTCCCCCTTCTTTCTGATGTTTGGTCGAGAACCGAGACTTCCCATATCCATTCAGCTAGGTGTTGACGATGTTGATACTTGTGACAAGGATAAAGAAAAAGAAGAACAGGTTCAGAAAGAGAACAAAAGTTGGATAGTAGAACATGAAAGAATATTGAAAGAAGCACACACAAAAGCAGCAATGAAAATAGACAAAGAAGCAGACAGAAGAAAAGAAATCTTTGACAAGAAAGCTAGAGAGACTGTTATAGAAATAGGATCAAAAGTTCTTACCAGGAAGAGAATACAAGGAAGAAATAAAATCCAAGATTCTTTTGAAGAAGACATATATACAGTTGTACAAAGGAAAAATGATGTTTACACGATAGAAAATAAGTATGGAGCGAGAAAAACTGTAAACATAGTAGACTTAAAAGAAGTTCCACAGAAAGTAAGAGGAATAAAACAAAACAAACATGAAGATGTGCCTGAAACTGAGACTATCAGGAGATCAAAAAGATTAGCAGCTCAGAATGCCATGATGTAGACATGATGTCAGAAAAATTGAGATATATATTTTATCGCGTTTAGTGATTTGCGATAAGCGTTCTGTAATAAATGTTATTTTCTTAACTATTGTTCTATTTTAATAATTCAAATTACTGTTATATGTTACTGTTATTTATACTATAAAAGAAACACAATACATATATAAAAAGTTACTTTGTTAACAGAACATAATTTTATTGACTACCATTTTAAGGTAGTGGATGTTAATTAGGGGAGGATAATCCTTCATAATGGTATTTCATAATGTTATTTTCTATGTTCCACGTGTGTGTGACATTTTGTTGTTAGAATTTAATGTATTTTATAATTCCTGTGGTAGCAAGAGCAAGGATAATTTGGGACAAATTATGACGAGTCCGCGTGTGTGTGACAGGATGTTTTAGATTTTCAAACCCTACTGTGGAGAGTTATATTTTTATGTATTTCAATTATATTTTCAAACCCTGCTAGGAGAATAGCTTTGATTTACACACAGTGTGCACATGCAAGGGGATTAACCTTGATTGCATTTACTTTCCAAATCACCAGTGCTAGCCTTGATTTTGAACTGTAAAGACATGGTAAGAAATTTTCATATATTTTTGTCACTTTTTACCCTTTAGAATATGCCAACATTATGCCAATTGTATTCATTTTATTCTCCATAATTTTAGCTCCAATTTGATGTAAATATTATTTTGTATTTCAAATACTTTTGAGTAATTTCTTTGTAAAACTTGAACAATGTGTTGGAACAATTGTCCATAAGGTGATGTTCATTTCATGCACCTGTGCGTTATTCATTTACAATTAAAACCACCATTTATGTCATTTCATATGACTTATCTTGGTACACACGTTTTACAGAAGACACTGTGTGCGTACTAAAGATTATGGCTAGCACTCAGAGACTGTATAGCTTATTTTATAAGGTACATTCCACATTTTATTTTATATTGCTCAATTGTAAACCTTCATGGTACATTTTGCATAAAGTAACTGAATTATATTTATATTTGGTAATTTCAATAGAGAAATGTATGTAGTGCGTCAAGCACAGTATAAGGGTTTTCTTGGGAACCGAATAAGGGCCCTTTAAGTCCCATAGCCCTCAGTACTAAGAAGTTTATCATAAAACTGTTTGTTTCATTATTGTATTTTACCTGCTTTACAAACAGCTATTTGTACATTACTTTTATTTGCAGCTCTGGGGTACAAACTAGGTGCACAGCCTTAAGCATTTGTGGTTTTGGTCTTAAGTGAGTTAGTGATTTAGGTAGCTTGAATACAAGATCAGTTAGTGATTTAGGTAGCTTGAATACAAGATCAGTTAGTGATTTAGGTAGCTTGAGTACAAGATCAGTTAGTGATTTAGCTCATTTGTATAACATTTTGATCATTTGATTGATTATAGGGTTGAATACATTTTAAATACATTTTATATTCTTATTCTGTTAATTCGATTTGTAATGTAACCCACGTCCACTCCCCCATGGTTACACAAGATTGTGAAACAAGGCTGGATCCATTCTCTGACATGGTAGCAAGATGCAGTTGCACTTTTTTTTTATTTCATCAATATCAATAAACAGGCATCCTTTCTCTATAGAAATATAGTATAGAAATAAATAAGTCACATGTGAGCAGATCTGGACAATATGGTGCATTGGCCAAGGGCTCAATTTTTAGGTCCAGGAATATTGTTTTCTGAACATTTTGAGATCTATGGGCAGGTGCATTGTCCATATGGAGTAGGGTGTTCCGTTCTCTTCTCACCCCTTTCTTCCACAATGCTTTATCAAATTGTTCATATTTCCAGAAAATTTCCATTTTAGTCCAGCATAAGGATAATCCATTGGATGAATTCCAACTGCGCGAAATGCTTCACTCAAATCAATTTTTCCCATATAGCATCCTGGTGTTATAAGACTTACTGCATCCTGGAGTTTTTCATAATTACATATGTCTTTTGTTGCATAAGCATTTATCCCCTGGCCTGGAGGTAAGCTACAGTCATGGATTAAGCGAATAGAATCAGAGTTTGGTTTTTCAATTGCACCTAAAGGACTTATAATAACTGGTTTTTTGTCAACTATAACATATCGATTTTCTGCTAGTTCATGTTTGATTTGTTGTTCCACTTTTGAGTGATTGATTACAGTAACGGCAGATTTATGGTTGGGCCATGCAGCTGGGGTCGGTTTTGTATTGCTTGAGTCTATAATTCTAAATCCATTTTTAATTCCTCTTAATAAGAATTCTTTGTCATGATCAGATGATAATTCAATATTCCAGAAGTCATACTTTAAATTTCCTGATGGCGATAATGCAGAGGGGCTTATTAGTTTTCCTGGGGTGCTTTTTCTGATGAGGGGTGTTTAACTTTAGGGTGTTTACCTTTACAATCTGCGCAGATGTGTGCAAATTTACATGTAGTGCGTGAGCACCCTACCTCACTGTTGTAATCCTTGCAGGGGTATGGGAAAACTTGCGATTTTTGCACAGATACAGATTGTGTTGGGGGCTTATTTGCATACATGGTTTGCTTCCTTTTAAGGTGCTTTATATCCAAGTGACTGAGATCTGCTCCCCATGGGAAGCCATGTATATGTTGTGCCTTGCGGTATTCTCTGTCGAGGGCCAGGACACCTTGCCATTCATACGCAATGGCATGTTGAAATATCTTAACAGTATATGCTTGGTATTCCAGGACACCCTGTGTAGCAAGCTTTCCAGACTGCACCAGTTTCGCCATTATCCTTGCATTTGCGACAGCCCATTCAAAGGGTGATATCTTATCTTCTCTCTTCGAGGATTTTGACACAAGAATATTTTGATCTCCTCTTTTTGAAATCGATTGCTCCTGGTCGCTATTTATCTCTATTGATTTATCAATAAAATCAATTATTTTTAGCTCACCTACTGCTTTATCCTGTACAGGCGTCAGGTAAACCAGTGGGGAGATTGATGCGGCTGCCCCATGTACGGCGGTACTTGTCACGCTGCTATCCGGTGATTGTCCTATTTGAGGCATAGGTGTACCGGGTGGGCCTTGTAACAGTTTTGAAATGGGTATTTCATTCATGGGCGATACATCCTCATTTACGGAAGGTTGGACTTTTGTTGATGCTATGTGCTTTTTCAAAATACATATGTCCCCAGCACGCAAGTTTAGACTCATGATAGCGTCAAGGTCCATTGAGTCTAAGGCCTCCTTCGAGGTAAAACATTCACTCCTCAGAGTTTTAACTGCATTTGATGATAGTCCAATATTATCGCAAAATTGCACAAGAATGTCTTCTCCAATCTCACAATCTTTCTTCCTGGATTTAGGAGGCATTTTGACTCTGCACTTTTATTTTGTTATTCTTATTTATTATTTTATTTTGTTATTTTATTCCTATTTCAATAAATCCTATTTAAATTAGCGAGCAAACATTTATCATTACAGCCAGTTAGCAGGCTAAGAAGCAACTGAAGGGAGCATAGACCAGAACACGTGTCTGGGAATGACATCTGTCATAGATAAGGCCAGCCCCCTTGACAAATGATTTGTAGGTTTAATGTTAGAGGCTGGCCCTATCTGAGACGATCTGTTGCTGCATAATTTAAATCAAGTTTAATTAATTAAACTTACAACAAATTGACCTGCAAAGCCCTTCCATACAACACTCTGACATCACAATACTTTCTGTTTATGTGTTGACCAGTCAGCAAAGTATTTCAAACAACACAACACATGTTGCATATGAAAAGTTTAAATCTAACTGAAATTTGCCAAACTGGCTGAAAACTGAATATGTGACGTAAATGTCGGTCCCGGGGTACCTGTACCTTCTTCACGGAAATAAAGATATATCAACATGTATTTTATATTTTGTCTTCAAATCCTCAGAAATGATAGATAATTGAATGGTGTATCACTGGTAGGAAAATCAAAGGGATTGGTCTATAAAAAGTATCTGTGTAAAAAAGCGTCCATTACTTATTGATCACCCCTCGTATATATAAAACACAATCTCCATTTCCGTATTTGGACTGAAACGCTCTACTAGTTTCATATTCCGTGTCAGAGTAGTGTACTAGGGAATGATGCTATTAACCAGTACGTAATAATTAGTGACATTCTAGGTATCAACATGGAAATATATTGATCCCCTCTGGTCTCCTGAATTGTTATTTGATTCTTGCCAAAGATATTCAAAAGATTGGTAATCGTTGCCAGGGAACTAAAAGATCGCACCCGCTCCTTAGCAACAGAGTAGAAGCTGCAACTAGTACTATAATTGTCCCTGTATTAGAATTCTATTTCCGTAAGATTATACAGGAATATAAAACTCAAGATATAATTATTATTACAGATATTGAGGTGTATAGCAAGCGCATGTGTATAGCAATTTGACGAAACAACCATGAGTTATTACTAAATTAGTTGTCGCAGCCTCTGTGCGGAATATTTTCTTCTATGATCTACCCGGATGTCCAAGGCGATCGACTAAATCAGATATGGACGAAGGCACATTACGTGCAGTCATATACTTGTAGAGTGTTCATTCAAAGATAAGAGTATCTATAAACTTTATTCATATACAGAAGATGCAGATTTTGGAACAGAATTGATGTGACATACACGGGTATTAATAAGATATTTTTAGCGATATAACAACAGGTATTTAACAATTAGGATGCATAGCTCAATCGTTGCCATGCCGACCAGTTACGTAGATCTTCATGAGGCAGGTAAGAATGTGTTGACAATACCAATACAGTACTTAGCACGTCTCGATCAGGATCTTATGTCATTTTGATAAATTGTGATATTATTATTATTAAAGTAGAGTTGATGAGATAAATAAATTAATTAATTAACTGATTAATTAAAAAATTGAATAAATTGCTCAGAATGGCTTTGAATTTTGAACAATTCGGCCAATGGGGAGTAAGTCACCACTCTCTCTTAAAATCTCTATATTAGTATAATAAAGAGATTATAAGATAGGGGGTGACTAACTCCCCGTGATTCGGCCCAACAAGAACAAGCAAAAATTACGGCCCACTTTTTTTCTCATTGTATATTTTGATGTAGCACCTATAAGGAGCAGTTCACGTATTTTCTCTCGTGAACCATTAAGTAATATCACATTTTTCATCATTCTCATTTACTAACTTGTTTTAAATTCTGATACCATAGAGTTTTGGATATTGCAAAGAGATTTTTGAAGCAATTCTTTCATTATGAAAGTATACAATTAAACTCACTAAATTTTTCCCCGTCCATTGACGATAAGGGATTAACCCCCATCTCTCTCTCAATTCTTTTCTTGGGACATAATTGCTATATTTTCCTTATACCTTTATCATGCTTAAGCAGGCAATTGCAATATATATTGAATACTAAGTAGAGGAAAACGTCTCCAGAGGACCATAATTCTACAGGTTCACGTCAAGGTTCTCTTGAAATCGTGTTGCTTAATACCCTTTGCATTCGTTCGATTTAGCTTCTTAAAAGAGAGCTTCGTCATCGGTAGTAGTTTATAACTAGACTCTGAGACTCTGTGCGCAGGGTAGTTGCTTATCCTCCCTAATATCAGATCTTGAAAGTTTCCCTGAGATATTATATGACAATCTGATATTTCAGATCAAATTCACCTGGAATAATATGCAATGATATATTATATTAGTTCACGTCAAGAGTTTACTAATTAATAATATTCATACCTGCGCCCTGGGTGGTTACTTTGACTTCTAATTGGAGTTAAAAATGATATTGCTGAGAGAAATATCGAGCAAAGAACGTACCAAAAACTCAAAATAAAGTTATCATGGAAACTAAAATTTGATATGATCAGTCTTTCTTTAACGAATCCTTAAATCCATTGTCGTTTTACTATCCCGTCATTATGGGTCTATGTCTTAGGGGTACTCATGGTCTATATAGGAATTATTAACTTTACGAAGTTTCTGTAAATGACCTTTATTTTAATGACCCATATCATAAAATATGTTTTTATTGTAGCTTTCAGTGGGGATATCAGAACATTGGAGAAATTGATAGGTGCCAACGGAATGGTAGGTTGCAATTTCGTATACCTAGTTACATGATCTACTTGGCATTTAATTAGTTCCTGGTAAATCTATCATTATATGAAAAATGTCAAGTTGGCATTTTATAATTACAGGGTGTCCCAGAACTCATGAGAATTTTTTGAGGGAGATATAAGGCATGAATGATTTTCCTTCAAATTAAGTGCACTTAATAAACAAACATTGAGGAATAAATGACATGAATTTCAGGCACATATCTTTCATATTTCCGAATTTATTGTCATTTGAATTCTACATCGCCACAAACCCTGGAGTAGTCAGAGAAATACAACAATTTACGTCACATTTTGATAATATTTACACAACTTTTCTACTCTAATAGCATTGTTTCCATTGAATTATTTCAGCGTTTCAGTACATTAGTTAATAGGATCATACACATTCAGCTAACGTATCTCTACAGAGTTATCATAGCATATTATCTACAGTTGATGTCGTCTTTTCAGCTACTCTTTATACACATTCCCAAATCGTCCAATAGGCATTTCTGTAGGGTCCTCTGAAACAACATGACTCAATTCTTCCTCCGTTTCAGTGACATGGCTCACTAATCTTTGTTTAAGGTCCCAAAAGAAATCAAAAGTCTAGTAGAGCAAAATCTGGCAAGTATATGGAGCTACTATATAGTTACTGTAAAGTCTCAATAGAAAGTAAATTGGATGCACTACTGACATGCATGTATAGTGACTTATTCACTGGTGCATTGTCAATATGCAAGATCATATTGGCTAGCAAATGGAGACATTTATTTCAATGCCTCAGGAACATGTCATTGTGATCTTTCAGCAAACCAAATGTATAATCTGTTGATGTATTGGGTCTCTATCAAAGTTTATATATCGTTTTATCAAAGTGAATCATCAATGTGAGAAAATGCTGAACGAAGCTTATACAAAAACATTGGTTTTATAGTTGAGAATTTGTATAAAATTGATAAAATGTGACATAATCTGTTGTATTTTCCCGATAACTCCGGGGTTTGTGGCGATGTAGAATTCAAATGTCAATAAATTCGGAAATATAAAAGATAAGTGCCTGAAATTCATGTCAGTCATTCCCCAAAGTGTGTTTAATAAGTATACCAAATTTGAGGAAAAATCACCCATGCCTTATATCGCCCTCAAAAAATTCTCATGAGTTCTGGGACACCCTGTACGTTGCCATTTTACTGCATTGCGGTAAAGTATATCCCCATTTTCGCTTTACTTTAATATTAGTTTATGTGATTTCCGTTGATTCGACTATTATGACACAATTTGGTCAAAGAGGAAACCTCCAAAAAGTATTGAAACTGGTTATAATTTACAAACGTAAAATAATATATGGCAAGTGATCATCTGTCATTAGAGTTTGACGTACTCGTACACGTATCGTATACTCGAAAAATAAATATATGATTAACATCCCTCTCTTAGAGATAGGCCATGAGGACGCTAAACAAATAATCAGTCTTGTATAGCCTTAATTTGTTTTTGGGTGTTTCATTTTGTTTTTTTATATTTTGTATTATTTTGTGTTTTGTCTCTATAGTGTCCAAACAAGCCCGACCACGCAGGACGCACGTCACTACACCACGCCTGCATGAATGGATGGCTTGAATGCGTGAAATACCTAATAGATAACGGCGCGTCAGTTATTGCGACTGATGTATCAGGTACTATGGGTTCAACATTGATATATTCTAGATAAGTTCCACTAAAATTAATTGAATTGAGAAAATGGGCCTTTTTTAGAAAAGCGATCGCCCCCGATTTTTCAAAAATTTCAAAAAGTAAATTGCGGTAAAGGGCACAAAGGGATTTATAGTCAGTTCAGTTGCCCTCTCGCTTATCAAATTGCCGGATCCGCCCCTGACATTGTCTTATAGATCAGTAATGCAAATAACATGCGGAAGATTTAGTAGCAAATTAGAAAACTCTCATTTTCAGCAGGTGCTCCCTTTATAGTATTACATCTACCATATCTTCTATCATTGTACGCAAATCTGGTTCTACTCTTACAAATTATAGGTTGTACCCCGCTCCACTGTGCAGCGTCCAATGGCTATGTAGAAACGGTCAAATGCCTCATAAACAAAGGAAATGCCAGCGTTTCAGTTCGATCCAAAAAGGGTCATACTCCGAGATATATGGCAAAATCAAGATATCAAACAAAGGTTGTTGCGTTCTTTAACGAAATCGGTAAATATGTTTATTGTGATATTTTCATTTTTGCCAATTGTTCTTTATGTTCGGATTGAATGGTTTCAAAGAAGAATATTATCAAAGAACGATCTTGCACAGGTACTCGTTCAAGAGTATCTACATATGTAATATGAGTAATATCCCATATAATCCGATATAGTTATTACATGATTTCAAAGTAAGAAGGGCAAAGGTCCTGTTGTAACCTATGAATATCATTTGATGTATTTTCCAATTACTTCCAGAGAATAAAATGGGAGGGACGCCTTGGCTGCAAAATTAAGTGAAAATATGGGATGTACATGTAGATACAAAGCATATCCGACTTGCAAGGTGTTAAGCTGGAGCAACTGAAAGCTTGTGAATCGAGGGGGATATAAATTCACACTATCTATTAATATTGAGTGTAAATATTACTCACACATATATACATTTGTACTATTTTAATATATGTCAAGTGACATTGTCTGACACTCACATGTTCTATATAACTGATGAAACTCCCTTTGATTACATTCGTTAGAAGGGAATTGATATTTTGGATTTTGTAACGATAAGGGTAACAGAGCTTTATACAATATGAACGTAGTTACCCTGGATATTAGAGAGATTTGTAACTTATATTTATAGCATGTGTATTATTTCCGACGACGAAATCTCTCGATTATCATTTAACACAATTTATATAACAATAGAACCAAGATTCCGAGGTGTATTGTTATTTCATCGAAACTCATCTGGCATAAGACACCTGGATTTCTAGGGCCGGTATTGATATATTTAACTCAATTTATTTTGCAAAATCTACTATATTATTATCTAACTCAACATATAAGACAACAGGCCGTCTGTATCTTCCGGAAATGTTTATTCACTCGGATTGTGTCAAAAATTAGTAAAGGCACTCGGTAGTATCGAACCCAGTTTACAAACTGGACGCCACATTTGGTTCAGTTTGAACAATCTGTCTAAAATTTGGATCAGTCGCACTGTCTAGTGATTTAAAACCACATGTATGTATGTCGTGTAAAAATGGAATACATATACACCCATGTACATTATTAATCTTAAAGTGTATATTGGGGCTCGAAAAATGTTGTTTGAACTCAGTTTGGACAATTGTTGTATAAAATTTGCAGAGAGGATTTATCAAGACTACCAAAAGCCAAATATTCTTCAGATTAGGAAAGTCCTCAACAAGAAATGCAAGTCATTTTAACGGCTCATATTTCGAATGCAAGCGTTGCTACTTGCTAGATGTGTTTTAATAACTTGCAATTTAGTAGTTCACGATGTTGATCTAGATATCAGAGCTCCGATCATCTGTGTCATAGATAGCACGCCCTATGTTGCTTGTTTTTGTAATTTAACAACCTTGGGAGATTGTGAAGAATATGATATTTGTCTTAACAAATAAAAAGCATAAAAAAACTAATTGTCTTCTTATCTTTGAATGCAACCTTTGCATCTTTTGTAAAATTCAAAATAATTTTTTTTTGGCTTGTATATGCCACAATCACACCCCCTGACTGAAAACCGAAGTTGTTTTGGCGATCGCCCCCTCTGACTGAAAGCTGCGTACGACTAGCACGTAGCCTGTTTAGGACCCATATCCAGAAAATGGGTTTGGGCTTAGGAGCCCTTGTGGCGCTCCTTACCCTCTATGGGACAGACCACATGCGCAAGCACAGACCAGAACATTTACCAGTATAGCTCTATAGACATTTTGGAGGAGCAGACGATCCTTCTTTCTAACTACCAAGGACAAGTCCTCATGGTCATCCTACTGAGGATTCGTCGCCCATACTCAATTCAATTCCTTAATGTTCTAGCTGTAAAGGAAACAAATAAAGCTTTTCACGTATTTTTACTTATTCTTAAAACCCAGTGAGGTAGCATCACAATAGGATGAACCATATTTTATCTTAAAGAATGTACAGTTGTAACAAAATAATTATGAAGAGTATATTCTTTTTCTATTGTTTAAAGAATGTCCACTTGGCAACTCAGTTTGGCAAAAAAGGAACAGATTTTTAGTTTCGATCATCTGAAAACAATAGAAATGTAAATGTACTCTTCTTTTGTTTCTGCACATTCTTTAAATAAAACAATTTATTATTTCTTGCTGCTACCTAGAGTATTGAGCTAAGCTATTGAGCTGATCATTGACCATTTAGCTTTCATAAGAGTCAGTGTGGGTTTTAAGTTAAATAAATCTTCGTACTACCGCTTATAATAACTGCCCTTTATTTTCACCTAATATCCAGTACTCGTGGTTTATCCATTCCATAATATTTTTTCACAAAAGGTGTGCATTGTTAATGCCCAGCTATTGTAAAATTAATGAATTTTAGCAATAACATGGAAACAACCAAGAGTTCTAGAATGGACTCACACACGTCCGCACTGGAAATGGGTACATCCCAACTTTCCAGATGTTTGAAAAGATAGAAGTGAACGGGACATCCCAGCGACGAATGTACGGATGGCTAAATGCCATTAATGAACTTTTATTGAATCCGATGCATTTGACTCGATTTTATCAAGTTCATAAACCTTTATGAGTATACATTTTACTTTGGCCTGTTACCAATGGCAGTTGGGTAATGAGTAGTTGTTGGGCAGTAAACTTGAAAACAAGCGTTGTCCAAGATCTTAAATGGTATCACTTCATTTGCAAACATCATATTTAAAAACTGAGTATGAGTACCTTTAACAACCATTTCAATAATCAAGTGAATTAGTAACCAATATATTCTAGTTTACATTCTGTCAGTTTACATAGGATTTTTATGCGAACACAGCTCAAAAAGTAGTTCAACTTGGCCCAGTTCGTGCCAAGATTCGTTTATGTATCAGCAGATTAAGTATGACAGCAAAGCCTTAAAATTATTTCTTAAGTTTTGAAGTATTGAAGTATAACCCTGGCCAAAGAGTTTTATCACTAAAACATTATGCCTTGACTTGATTAAATCTCCACATTTTTAGAATTCCCTGCTTTACCTTATTCTTCGGCCACAGTATCATGAAGCGCTGAGGGGTCATTCATCAAGCCATCGCAATCAATGCGACCACCGTGCGACGTCGCAGTGACTGCGACTGCGACCTATTCATAAAAAACCGCAGTCTACGATGTCCCTGCGACCAGTCGCAGTGATTACCACGTGCACGTGCTTGTAGTTATTCTTTCGAGATCCTCTTGTATCATTTCGTAAAGTTTTATAATAGTTAACATAGGCATGCGATATCGCAAAATAAGGTCCACATCATCGTATATTTGAAAAGGATCTGTACGATCTCTAAATACGCGTTCTCTACGCAGAGCATTACGGTTAAAATCAACCATCAGTTGCGCCAGTTTGAAAGAATAAACGCTGCCAGCAAACACGTCATGCAAGACTGACAATATGGATACTGAGTGGGTACAGGCACGTGGGTTCAAACCATGTGTAACGCACAATCACTGCGACCGGTCGCACGGTAAAGTACTAAAAATACATGCCGAAAACTAGCTGTTTTTGATAGCATCACGAACATGTTAAACATAATGCATATGTTCTGCAATTTTTATATATCATTTCATAAAGAAATTCAATTAATTTAAGATATTTTCTTGAACTAAAATCACTGCGACTGGGTACCACCGGTCGCTTAAATTTGGTCCCCATCAGTTGCATCGATACCTTCTTTCAAAAATCTTCAATTCAGTATACATGGTACAGAACATAGAAATAATCACATCTACCTAAGTTTATCACAAGAACGAGCAGTGAACATCAAAAAGTGTCATTGCTTACATTAGGTGTAGTTGATAGATCATAAGATGACACATACTTGTACTTCTGACAAACGTGAAAGATTGTGAGAAACATACTCAATGCAAATAAAGAACAAAAACGCATTGTCTTCTTATCTATAACATGTATAACAGTCCATCATCATGCTTTTATAGTCATTCCACATTTAATACACATATAGCTAGCCATACCTCGTGCTGCAGGACATCGATAAGGAGGGGAGTTCAAACACACAAATAAGTAACACCCATACCTACAAAATGGGTTTGGGCTTAGGGGCCCTGGTGGCGTTCCTTACCCTCTATGGGGTAAAGGGACAGACCACGTGCGCAGGCACAAATGGGACAATTTACCAATACAGCTTTATGGACGTTTTGGAAGAGCGGACGATTCCTCTTTCCAACTACCAAGGGCAGGTCCTTATGGTCATTAACGTGGCCACCTACTGAGGATTCACCGAGCAGTACTTAGACTTGAATGTAATACAAACTGATTATAGCCCGTTCTTCCAAGTGCTGGCTTTTCCTACCAATCAATTCGGTTTGGTACGTTCAACAAATAGCTATATTAGCTAAATTAAATACATAATAACATATTCTGGCATTTGAATTTTAGGGGCAAACATGTTCCGATCTTAGAACCACAATGTTATGATGACAACATGAGAAAGAAAATGAAAGGGAATATTGATACAAATAGATGTAGCAAATAGTTTTAGGGGCGAAACGTTTCGTCTTGGGGTAAACCCTATTTTGGACCTAAAATAAACAACCGATAGTTTATTTTTTACTTCGACTGAGACAAAGATTAATCAAATATTAATAATTTAAAAACGCCAAGGCCAACCATTTTTGATGAAGTAATATTCTCAAGCTCTTGAAATTATGAATTTCAGCAAGAACCGGGAAGCAATGAGGAGATTTTGAACGCAATCCGATATGTTCGACCTGGTGGCGGCTACATTCCCAACTTCCAGATGTTTGAGAAGATCGAGAGCAATGGAATTGACCAAGAAGCGATGTACGGATGGTTAAAGGTAATTTTGGAATATATGTTACATGATGGTTTCGTGGTTAATTTAATTTCAACTTTTTCTTTCCCAATCATGTCAATGAAGAATAGAGGTAATGATTAATTGCTGGATAAAGCTCAATTTTCAGATTCCGTATCCTCCATGTTAAATCACAATCAGCCTATTGAAATTCAATATATGTCAAGAGTACGGGACGATTATTTTGTTTCTTGCGTTTATTCATTTGAAAAAACGCATGAAAATTGTGGACATTTATCACTGCTTTATCGCTCTTTGTATTGATTTTCACCCTTTCGTCTTTAGGGAATCTGCCCTGAAATATCTGATTCGTTTTACCCAAAAAGTCGGTTGTACTATGACCCAATAAACGTACGTGACATTCGCTGGAATTGGGAGAAATTTATCATCAACAGAGAAGGAAAGCCAACAAGAAGGTAGATTTCGATTTTTCACACATTAGTATTATATCTATCTTAAAATGTAATTTTGTCGTATATATATATTACTAGAATATAATCGGGTGTCCAAAAAATGAGCCACTTTTTGACAAGTATTATCTCGGCAACTGATCAACCAATTCACTGAAAATTGGTATAAAGTAGCCTAAGAGTACCTAACAAGGTACAAAAAATATGAAAAAGATCAAGTTAAATGTGAGTTCTAAGAAAAATTCAAGATTGTATGTCAGTATATCCCATACCGGAGCAACGCAATGAGAATTTCGTAGCGTTTGTACCAAAAAATGAGAAGCAATTTGACAAGTAATTCCTCCGCAATAGATAAGCCAGATTCTTCGAAAACTTTACCTCAAGCACTTCGGGGTACCTTCTGCCAGTGCCATGAATATGTAAGAGAATTGTACCATATTACGTGTGCATTTAAGAATTAATGACAGTATGTCAAAATAACCAATATCAATCAAAAATACTTTTCCGTATTTATTCTAACAATATCACCTGATGAATTTTGAGAATAAATTGATTTTGGATATTTTTGAAGGATGAAACAAATTAATTAATCATTACAGACATACAAGCTATTTTGACTGATTGACAGATGCTATCTCCTGATAGCTGGTACAAACACTATGGAGGTATTTTCGCAAAGATATGGTATGGGGTCTTTCGACATGCTATTTTGAATTTCTTAGTACTCACAGAATGTTTATTTTATCTTTTTAATAATAATCTTTCTAATAATACTCTAAGGCTACTTTGTACAAATTTGGTGCATCAGTTGTCGAAATAATACGTGTCAAAAAGTGACTCATTTTTGGGACACGCGAGATCTAGCAAAAAGTACTCAGAAGTACAAAAGTACTTAGAATAAATTGTTTCAATTTTAGAGTATTTTGGCCATTTTAGGCGGTAATAAATTCAAATCGACAATGAGGCAGGTTGTATATGTATATCAACAAAGCAAATGGTAGCAATAGGATGAAAAACGCAGTACACAGAGTGAACCATTATAAGATATATGTCATAAACCTCATAAAGGAGCCTATTTACTTATTCATTTAGATACGCTTCGTTTTATCCACCAACCGATACTAACGTTAGGGCCGATATTGAAGCAGCCCTGACCGAAGGGTATGGACAAGATTGGAGACAAAAACTGGCAGTAGCGAAGGCCAAATTGGCGAAGAAGGAGCAAGCGCCAGTTGTGCGGCCAGTGTCAATCAGTGAGATTCTGAGGAAACACCATTAAACGGAAAGGAGACCCGCATCGTCTGATTTTTAATTAACAATGGAATTTGAATTGAACTTGATCATTGCAAGGAATGAAATATCATACATTTCATTATTGAAACTATTTTAATGGATTGTTATTGAGTAGTTGTTAAATGATTTTGGATTTGTATATTAGACGTTTCACTAAGATAGAATGTTGCGTTATATTTCATGGGGGTCGATCAACCCCAGGGGTGTTTTGGTAGGAGCGTCCCTGGTTGAGAGTGGTCAATCCCCGGGGATATATCACAACATGCGTTGTATGCTATACCATGCTTGAGGTGATATCATTTTCACCGTGCTAGGGATTATCCTATGATGGGACCCACATAAACTACTAAGCGTAACTGTGGGTACCTGACTGACAGAACTTGGGGGTGTCTTACATTCAACACTTTCTCAAGTTGTGTCATTAATCTTTAGTGCTGTAATGAATCTGATATAATCTCGATTTTTGTTATGAAATACACGAATAGCACTCAAAATAGACGTTTTGTTTTTTATTAAGAATATTACCAAAAAGTTTTACAATAAAACCTTCGGAAATATCTGATAAATCAAGAAATTAAGTTGCTTTTGTCAGGTGCCTCCATATTAGAAATAGTACGCTGGCCCGACACAAACCTCAACTGCCATCTATATATCCAGCTATGTATCAACTCTAATGATGGCTTCCTTCTTGGAATAAAAAATATTATTCACATGTTGGCAAAGAACAAATGAAAATCCGTGGGAATGATATATTTTCTACTTAAATAATCTTTGAAATCCAGTTTATGAATCAACAAGTGCGTGCTTAATACGCAAGTTACTTTATGAAAATAAGATTCTTGAATGACTTATCATTAATCTAAATATTTTCTCTTCGAGGTGATTCAAATATTATACAGAACACCCCTTATCTGTGTGTTTATATTTCAACATTTGCTGATAGCACCGATGTGAAATATTCAATACAAGGTGATACAAAAATCTTCTCCTTGATATTAAATTGGAATTCTCAGTCTGAAGAAATGGTCATAGCCAACATTCAGATGTAGAAGATAAAGGGTACCTATGGCTATATCTACAATAAACTAAGTTAATACTTCTAGAACGTATTTAGCCTGGATAATTCATCGACTCAGAGCCATGGATTCCAACCAAAATTTACCATGTATTTGGCCACCCTGTATTTTGGTAAGTGCATAGATAATCTTTAGACAAATAATTAAATATAGCCCTAGATTATAGGTAAACAGGACATGATATAAGTACACGCCGATCATATGTCCCTCGTAGACCAACTTCTTAACTTACATTGAACGGGAGTACATATTAACCTCAGAGAGTCCACTCTGCACAAATTGGAAGTTAAGGATGACGGGGCTCTTTGCGAGCACCCTGCTGTTGCTTTGTGGGTTTCTCGCCCCGGGACTGGCCCACGAAGCAAAGACCGCCTGCTACCATTCAAGGCGAAACAACGCCTCGATCTATGATTATAGAGTGGAGACACTCTCTAAGTATTTCCCAGACAAAGACATTGTAAATCTATCGGATTATCGCGGAAAGGTGGTGTTGGTCGTCAATGTGGCGACCTACTGAGGTCTAACCCATCATTATCTTGCTTTGAATGCACTCCAGCAAGATTATAAAGACTTCGCACTCCTGGCGTTCCCTTGTAACCAGTTTGGTATGGTAAGTATACATGTACAGTAGCCTTGATGTAATGATTAGGTAAACCACTGTTGAGCACTTTGTTATTAGGGAGTTTAAGCTTGCATATAAAATCGAAACACCAACCTATACGGATGAGCAATCGCCCATAGAAATGCATCGCTTAAATATTTTTCGTTCACGTTTAGATTGTGAAAACATTGTAAGCTTAAACTCCCTATTATTTGGGACAACGCTGTATCATTTTCCCATATCGTAAAAATGGTGACGGTGATCAACAAGAAAAACCATTGGCTTAAAAAAGGTAGAAATTGTAGAAATATAGACGTCCCAATATCATTTATTTTCATACCATGATAACCTTTAACCACTTTTCACCAAGTTTCCACTTCTTATGATTCCCATATATTTCCGATAGCTATATTATTAGAGTTGCTACAACTCTAATGAATTCCCGGTTCGTATATATTTTCATGTACTATAGCAATAGTTTCCACGATTATTGAAGTCATTCCTATCTTTTTATACTGTAGCAAGAGCCGGGTGCCGGTGAAGAGGAAATTCTCAATGGCATCAGGTACGTCCGGCCAGGGAACGACTTCCAGCCCACGTTTCCTGTCTTCGCCAAGATCAACGTTAACGGGGAAGACGAACATGAGCTGTATACGTACCTAAAGGTCAGTTGTATTGTCACTAGTATAATTTTTCCAATTCTTATAGCTCCTCGTGATACTATGTAAACATGCACCGGCCGAAGATACTTTAACTCTAACCCTAAAAAGGAATCAGAAATCGCGCGGCCATCTTATCATACGCAATGGTTAAAATGTATGTCCAATGTATCGGTGAACGTAGGGTTCTCCGTAAGCAATGTTACCGGGGCTGAATTCCATGAGTACGCACACAGACACTTGGTGAACAAAATGCAATACAACTGCTGACTTGTTTTACATCAAAAAATAAGAGATTAATCAAGATCCATAAATATGAAGCACGTTCAGTCAATTTCAATGTTTCCAATTCGTCGATAAAACCTAAAAGTAAGGAATTAAAAGGTTTATTCCCGGGTATATTCATATTGTGCAGAAATGACATTGAAATGGACTTTAGAGTATTATAAAACATTGTTGTTTTGATCGTAAAAATTAATTGGGGAACATTTACCCAGGGTCAGGTCACAGTCATTATTGTCACGTTCATACGATATCACAAATCGCTCCAAGAATGTTCTAGAAAGTCATCACGAACGGTTAAGCTGTCTTACTTGATCGTGGAGTTAGAATGAAAAATAATAAGCGTGACAGGATCTAACAGATTAGTGTACTAAGCTACATATAGTAGGGATCATATTGCCAAGTGTATGTCTCTAATTGTTTATCTGCGTAATCGGCTTAAAATCAATTGGATTATGGTGGTACTTTGACAGAAGTTATTTTGATAATCACAGTGATACCTGTATAGCCAAACACATCTCTTATCTGAATACCTCAAAATTTGAACTCTTTTTGGTCCGATTTTTTAATCTGTCATACTTACTCTCATATTTAAAAAGCAAGTGCAACATAAACACCTGCCAATCTCTTTCAGGTCTCACTGGCATTCAGATTAGACAAATTTACTGAACGATCTTTAATTTCATATCCACATTTCAGCGATACTGTCCAGCGCCAGACAAGTTCTTCCGAGCAAAACATAGGTTGTATTATGACAAACAAGAAGTGAACGACATCAGATGGAACTTTGAGAAATTCTTAATTGACAAACATGGCAGACCTTATATGAGATACAATCCTACAACTGCCCCCGATAGTATCAGAGCCGATATAGAACAACTGCTCAACCAACCAGATCTCTAGACAACGACCAGTAACGATATCTTTCAATACTAATAGTTTTAGATTTATAGATATATAGAACTAGTAGTGACATCTTTCAAAAGATGATATAACGTTAACGTTGGCAAAGAAACTAACCGTTAAACTTAGTACATGAAAAAGACGTTCAAACGAGTTCATGCTGTTTCTTCAAAATCAAGTCTATACAATTGTCTCTGAATATTTACTGATTATTAACCTAATTATTAAGTTTCACATACTAGTACCCATTCCACATGTGTTAAGATGAACTGAGTTTAATGACCTCATCGTCCAATCCGGTCTGTAAAAAGGTTAATTATCGAGATTACTTATTACACAGTTTCTTAACACTATAAAATCTCATGAAAAGACAAAACAACCATGACAATCCAAAGTACCTTGACAACACTTACGTAACATGACAACGACAGGATTTCTTTAATTATAGTGTTCAATGTGTGTATCAGAACGTGATTCTGTACAAGGACACATAAATATAATATGATTGATATCTTATCATTTTATAGCTATTTATTGTATGTACCTTATCATTTATGTCAGTTTGTACCTTGGACAACACTATTATAACAACATGACTTATTATTGATGTTAAATGGTTCAACCTTTGCTGTCAGTTAACACTTTAGATGTCTAATTTATGATGTGTTTACCTTAAACTACTTTGTGTAGTTGGTATACATTGACATGTTCTTTTCCCCTTAAATCTTGTGCATTCGATTCAAGGGGCAAAATTACAATAGGGGTCTATTTTGTTTATCTCGTATCAAAGGTATTTCATAAGTAGTGATAAGTACATGTTGTTATAATTAAGAAGTCTTATAATAAAATTGAACATGTTAATAAATGTGTTTTTCTTATACATGTAACTGTCTGGTTCACTGTTGATAGAGACTAGCTTGCCTTATCCAGGGATTTATTTGATGAATTTAGTCCCAGGAGTGGTATCGAAATAGTGAACTTTTTGAACACGCGTTTCTCTTAAACCAGTCATCAAAACATTCTGAAAATTTTACACATCGTCAATTTAATGGTCATCTTTTGGATGGAAACATTATAATTTGAAATATATTTATATACTTTTCTCTATATTGTTTTAGAAAACACATGAGACGCTTCTTTTGTTCTTGGTATCATATGTTCGGAATGAAATGAAACATCTATCCGAACCTCACTGGAACAAAACGACATAAACACAACGTGTTTAGGTCTCTCAATATTGTAATTTTACAAAGGAAAGTTTGGTTGATTTTAAAAAAGTATCTTGTTTATGAAATAAAACGTTGAACTTAACTTATTTCATTCTCAAGAATTGGTAGAAAGGAACAAAAAACAATTGCACTAAAAACAAAAAATGTGAACAAAAACAGTTATATAAAAATATTTTTTGCATTAAATTGTTGCCAATCGGTCAACATTGCATAAAGGACCGTGTTTTTTTACAGAATGTTTTCAATAATTGGTTTAAGAGAAAAACATTGTTGAATTCAGTTCACCATATCGATACATATCCTTTACTCCCATTATGGGATTTAATCACATATTTGCCAAGGTATGCTGGGATTGATGTTCCTGCAGTTGATAATTACCTCTCAATCAAACCCATCCGAGTTGTGGTAGAAAATAGTACGCTAATTTTGATATAAAGCATCTTTTTATATGTTACACATTCATGTTTTAACTTTTTTGCTCAATTTCTCAAGATGTTTGTTCATTATTTCAAAATACAGATTTTGATTGATTTTGCGCAATATTCACTGTACTATACCTAGTATTTAATGTTCATGAGAAACCCATTTGACTTAATAGTAATGATTATGTTATTTGTTTTTATGTGTCTGTTCCTTATAGCGGGATCAGATGTCCAGATATAACCCCTTTTTTGTTCGGCTTTTTCAGGAAAGCAACAAACTTGGCACATTTGTAGAAACATATGATTTGAGTGGAAAATGATTTCAGGGCAAGTGGTTGGGGGTGGTCTTCATGGATTTTTTTACCTCTGACCCCCACCCCTATCAGGTGGGGAGGGGTAAATTATAAAAAATAAATAAAAATGGTTTCAAAGTATTTTTGTTTAAATGACTTCATTTGGTGATTGCTTTGAGCCTTGAAATGATGTAAAACTCATTTTAGAAGTGGTATTTAGTGAGGAAAATACATTTTAACCCAATTATCCAGGAGAAATTCATTATTTAAAGGGCCAAATATGGGACGTCCATTACTGTATTTCAAGAATGTGATGACTAATAGTCTTAAAAAAATTCACAGTAATAGAAGTATAAGTGTTTATTGCAGATAGAAAATATTGCTTTGGTAGCTGATGTATTCTCCGAGAAAAAATTATCGAAATTTCAATTTTTTGGTGCATTTGGCTCAGGGGTAACCTTATCTTACCTCAATAATTTTTTTTTTTTTTTTTTTTTTTTTTTTTTTTTTATTAAAAAAACATATTGACTTCTGTAATATATTCTTACAAAGTATATTTTAAACATTCACTCCATTTCACAGACATCCTTCTTCATTCATTCCATATCTTATTATCATTTTCTTTACAGTATTTTAAATACATTTCGAATTTTCTGTACACTGGTAGTTCTCGTAGCAATTTTTGATTATACAAGAAGTATTTTGCAATAATTATAATCATATTTTCGTATTTGCTCCATTTTTTAGAGCCAAAGAGCACATTGTTTAAATCAAAATATTTGAGTTTTTTCAAAATGTGTTGCTTAACACTGTTCCAAAACTGATTTGTATATTCACAAAGATAAAATAAGTGATCAATCGTTTCAAATGCAGTATGACAGAATTCGCACATCGGCGATTGTATTACATTATATTTAAATAGATCATTGTTTGTATATAAAATGCAATTTATAAGTTTAAATTGAAAAGCCCTGTGTTTAGAATACGTTAAAATGTAATGATAATACGTATAATAAAAATTCCAGTCTTCTTCGTTTAATTTATATTTTATACTAAGCTTTCCTTTTGCTGTTGGTTGTTCAGCAATGTGTGACAATAAAATAGAATACAATAACTTTGATGTACATTTGTTAAACTGAAATTTTTTTTTTCCATGTACAATATCAAAATTACAGTGTTTTACATCTAAATTGACATTATTTTCAAATACATTATTTCTTATAAGCCAAGTTCTTGGGATGGCTTTTAAAATTCCAAACCATTTCAGCATGTATACATCAGATAGACCTGTTTGTACCTTAATCTGGTGCCATGTTTTAATTGATCCATCTATAAATAAATCTTTAATTTTTATTATGCCTCTATTGAAAAATTCTTTCCAGAAGAGTGATTTATTTTGTATCGTGATTTTTTTGTTATTCCATATTATTTCCTCTGGTATATCGGTTTGTGAACGGGGCAATTCCATAAATGTTTGAAGCATGTGTATATAATACTTTGGCATATCAATATTCAATTTAGTTATATCATACTTGCAATTCAATACAAATAAGCCACCTTTTTGACGAAGGTAATAATTTGGAATGACAGTCCATGGAGAATTCTTGTCTGTATCTTTAATTAATTTCTGAACCCACTTTAGTTGGGCACTTTTAATTTTTGTTTTTAAATCACTCATTCTCAAGCCCCCTTCTTTGAAGTCGGAAATTAATGATTTCCTCTTAATTTTATCCCTGCCATTCCATAAAAATTTAAACACAATATCATTGATTTCTTTAAGGTATCTATCTGGTGTATCTATGACCGAACAAATAAAATTGAATTTTGATAACCCAAATGTTTTCACAATTTGTATTTTCCCTATTATTGTTAGTTGTCTAGTTTTCCACAGGTTAAGAGTTTGTTTTAAGTGATTTATCACGACTCTAAAATTTTGCTCATTTTTCTTGGTTTCATCATGGTTAAAGAAAACACCCAAAACTTTTATTTCTTTAACTTGTTTAAGTGCACCAATTTTCCAAATTTCATTTTTTGATTTTCCAATAGTGAAGAGTTCAGTTTTTTCTAAATTTGTTTTCAACCCACTACAATTTTCAAAGTCTTTTAGCACTCTCATAGCTTGGTGTACAGATTCTTTATCCCTTACAAAAAGTGTCATGTCATCTGCGTAAATACTAAGTTTTATCTCCTTATCTTCCCCAATTTTAATCCCTTTGATTAAATGGTCATCTCTAATTGCTTGTGCCAGAAACTCTACTGAGAGAATAAACAGTATGGGGGACAAAGGATCTCCTTGCTTAATACCCCTTTCAATATTAAATTGTTCTCCACTAAATCCTAAATTCATAACTTTGGCATGTATGTTAGTATAAAGTATTTTAATCCAAGATTTGATATAGTCACCAAAATTAAATGTTTCTAATGCTTGGAAGAGGAAATCATGGTTTAATGAGTCAAATGCTTTGAGGAAATCAATTGCGATTAGAGCGCCATCTGTGTTTCTATCATTTGTATAAAATATCGAATCTTCAATGAGTCTTGCTATTTCAGCCATATGTCTATCTTTCACAAATGCAGCTTGATCTGATTGTATCAATTTATCCAAAAAAGCTTCAATTCTTTTATAAATTACTTTAGCTATTATTTTTGCATCGACATTAATAAGGGAAATAGGTCTTTGGTTTTTCAAAAATAGAGCATCTCTACCTTTTTTTGGAATAAGTTTCATTAATATTTCTCTTTGAGATGCTGACATTTCTTTTTTAGTGAAAGTAAATAATTTTTTTAGATAGTCAATGTATGCATCTCATATGAGCTCAGAATGGTGCTTCTAGTCTTGTTTTGTCATATTATTGCTAATTAGATGTACAAAAAAGATTGGAATTAAAAAAAAATTCAAATTTTCATTTTCGATTCTGAATGGCCAGGGGTAACCATATTGTACCTTAATAATTTTCAAAATATGTAATATATCCATCTCAAATGAGCTCAAAATGATGCATCTAGTCTTGTTTTGTCATAAAATTGCTAATTAGAAGTAAAAAAAAGATTGGAATTTTTTTTTAATTTAATTTTCATTTTCGCTTCTGAATGGCCAGGGGTAACCATATTGTACCTTAATAATTTTTAAAATATGTAATATATCCATCTCAAATGAGCTCAATATAGTGCATCTAGTCTTTCTTTATCATTAACCCTAATAAGATGTAGAAAAATGATTGATAATTCTTAAAACTCTAAATTTTCATTCAAATAAGATGTAGAAAATTACTGGACATTTCTTAAAAATCTGAATTTTCTATTTGACCATATTTTTAACATAATAATTTGCAATGTATTACATATGCATCTAAAATGAGCTCAAAGTGGTTCATATACCAGAAGTCTTGTTATCATATTTCCCCTAATGATAAAAACATAATTTAACATTTCTAAATATCTAATATCTAAAAATCTAAATTTTATATTTGATGTTTTGACAGCCCAGGGGTAACCATACTTAAGATAATAATTTTCAATGTATGTTACATATATGCATCTCAAATGAGCTTGAAATGGTGTATATAATCTGTTTCGTCATAACATTTCTAAGGAGGTGGAAAAAATGATCAGATTTTGATTTAGCTTTTGACTGGTTATTTTTGTATTCAATAGTTAGTTTAGTCTTAGGTCAGTTTTGTAGATTGTAGTTTTTAGTGACTAATATGTCATTGTAATGACATCAGAGAGTCAATAAAAGATATATATATATATAGGTGGCCTCATTTTACCATAATAATTTTCAAGATATGTCACATTTGCAACTCAAATAAGCTCAAAATGGCATTTTGTCATATTCATATGTTCATATATTCATACTGAGATATAAAATGATAAATCAATGAAGTATTATATAAAGATATTAGGTTTAAGAACACTTGCATCACCTCTGGGTACACCTTCCATTCCTCCAAATCAGATGATTAAGAGTAGTAGTTAAATGCAGATGTGACATCGCATAGAATGATTGAATGAAAAATGGGGAGGACTAAACTTTGGTCATGGCCAATTGATCTTGCAATATCATGCACAGATAGTTATTGAATGGATTTTCTTTTACCAAATGCAATCCAAGATGTAGTGGGAACAAGAGGGAGCTGTCCTCCTTCCAGGCATCAACACTGAAACCCTCAAGAACATGGCAAGATGATAGTGACCAAGTAATGCAATGTCTTAGGTGCCATCAAGGATATTTCTCCATACCAGAGACTGCTTCAATCATTGCCTAACAGTTGATTTTGATGTGGTTTATCCTGGTGGCAACTTGTGCTGAAAAACTGAAAATGTCATTTTGGATTGCATATGGTAAGGGGAAATCCTTCCAATACCTACCTGCCCACAATATTACAAGACCACTTGGCCATGACCAAAGTTTAGCCCTCCCAATTTTTCATGCAATCACTGGATTTGATATGTCACCTTTGCATTCTACTACTTCTCTAAATCATCTGATTTGAAGGAATGGAAGGTGTATACCCAGAGCTATTGCAGTTGTTTTTAAACTTTGAATCTTTTTTTTTAGAAACATTGCAGTTGTAGTCATTTGTTATTCTGATGCATTCTAACCCACAGTTTCTATCACCACATGAATGTGGTTGGACTACTCCCACTGCTGATACTGAGGCCACAACATATGAAAATGTAGGTCCTATGAGGCGGATATCTGTATAATAACAAAAGATGTTGCATCCGAGGCATGCAAAAAACTTGTTTGATGTTTAAGGAGTGTTGAGGGAACATATGCAAATGTTTGAAATCATCTCATTTGCTCTGGGCTATGTAGCCGTAGGGGAGACTGTCAGAATCTATAAATCCTGACCTGTTTTGATTATGTTTTATGGATTTGGATTATATTTTTAAATGATTATACACAGAATCTTAACAATGCTACTACTCAGTATAAACTGGACTGTCAAACATTTTCAAATCTTAGAAAAGAGCTCGATAAAACTATAGTACAGTATTGAGCTACTGGTACTAAAAAGGAATAAATGGATGTTGTGATTCTTTATATAAATAAATAAATGGATGTTGAGATTTTTTATAATTTTTTTAATCATTATTTCTTATTTCAGAAGGAATAAATGGCAAAACTTGACTATAATAATCAATATTTTGAGCTCGTTTGAGTAACAACTAACAAGTGTGACATATCTTTATTTAAATTATTACGGTAAAATGGCATCAAACGCTAAGGCTGTAAGAATTAGTTTCTTTGTTTTGCGTCCCCTTGCTTGCATGATTTTGAGTAAATCAGAAAAAAGCAAACATATCCAAATAGCAACCACAAGGGTTTGAAAGTAACATCGTATTTCATTCAATCAGAATCAGACGAAATGGCGGATCAATTGATGTGCGTCAAAATTGACAGTGTTATTGATTACTTGGGCATACATTGTGTATTTTTTTGTATTTTTACCCTTGAATAATACCTATATTTAAATATATTGTATAAATATATAGATCTGTGTTTGTATCACTGCAAATTGGTATGTCATTCCTTTTAATGCCCATAAAATGTATACATTTCTCAGCAAACAAGTTTGTGTTTTTTTGAGTTTGTGTTTGTTTTCCTTGTACCCTTGCATGATTTGGATTTTGCCAGGACGCAAAACAGAGAATCTAATTCTTATGGCCTAATATGAAAATATCATTTTTCAAGTTTCCAAACATTTTTTACATTCCCTAGAAATAGTATATGACAAAAGAAGATTAAAAAACCCTTTAAAGCTCATTTGAGATGCATACGTCTTGTACTTTGAAAATTATTCAGGTAAAATATGGCTACCCATAGGCCACAATAAGCTAAAATGAAAATTTAGATTTTTAAGAAATGTAAAATCATTTTTCTACATCTAATCAAGGGCAATCTGATAAAACAAAGCTATATGCACCATTTTGAGCTAATTTGAGATGCATATATTACATATCTTGAAAATTATTAAGGTAAAATATGGTTACCCCTGGCCTTTTAGAAGCGAAAATGAAAATATGGATTTTTGAAAAATTTCCAATAATTTTTTTACATCTTATTAGGAATAATATGACAAAACAATACTCTATGCATCATTTTGACCTCATATGAGATGCATACATTGTATATTTTAAAAATCATTAAGGTAAAATAAGGTTACCCCTGAGCTGCATGCACTTAAAAATTGAAATTTCGAGAATTTTTTTCTCAAAAAATACATGAGCCACCCGTGGTATATTTTCTATCTGTGATAAACACTTAAACCTCTACTACTATGAATTTTTTCAGGACTATCAGACATCACATTCTTGAAATACAGTACTGGATGTTCCGTATTTGGCCCTTTAAACAACGAATTATTCTTAGATAATTGGGTTAAAATGAGTTTTTCTTGCTACAGACAACTTCTCAATTGGGTTTTACACAATTTCAAGGCTCAAAGCAATCACCAAATGAAGTCATTTAAAGAAAAATACTTTAAAACCATTTTTATTTAATTTTAACAATATACCCCTCCCAGTCTGGTAGGGGCGGGGGTCAGAGGCTAAAAACTCCATGAAGACCACCCCAAATCACTTGCCCTGAAATCATTTTTTACTCAGATCATATGATTCTACAACTGTGCCAAGTTTGTTGCTTTCCTGAAAAAGCCGAACAAAAAAAGGACATCTGACCCCGCTATTATGAATGGTTAATCGGAAGACTGTTAGATGTTAATAAGGTACTTGCAAAAATATTCTAAAGAATACAATTAGACAAACAGAGTATCTTATGCATTTCTAGGGTTTAGGTATAGTAGAGTGAATATTATTACACAGTAATAGGCTATAATCAGAAATTGATTTGATAAGTAACGGTAAATGGCCTTGCAAACTTTCAATCAGATAATATGCAAAAACTATATAAAAACTTCCAATTGCATAATGTTCTCTAAACACGAGGCATGTACATTGTAATATTGTACATTGTAATAGAAAGCCACAATTTTTAAACAGTCAATAAATATTCTATATTTGGCAAAAATACATTTCGGAAATAATCATGGAATCGTTCACTCAAATAAAATGACTCAATGACCCCATACCTACATGTTTTGACATGTTGTATTTTTCAGGAACAACCCTGGATTCTGACACTTTCAAATCTTATGTCACCTTTCATAAGGAACAAAATGATATATAACATAATATAGGGTGGCACTGGCAATGCTACGTGTATGACTTAAGAGGGGTGCAAACATGTACATGTGAAACACACCCTGTATATTATTACCTATGATCATGGGCTTTCGAGACAACGTGATACCTCTTCTTAATGTTGGTCATTTTTGTTCATTTTTAACTGAGTTCAAACATATTTCATGCTTTACTTATATTTTAAATTGATTTTTCTTCAAGATGATACTAAAATATATACATGTTTCCATTAATCATTTAAAATATGATCAAATAAGGAAAGCTTGGCACTGCTCGTTTTGAAATTTTCAGTTTTGAATAGTTTTTTCACAGAGTAGCATACCCTTCTTTTGAAAGCTGATAACAAAAATAATAACTTAACAAAAAAGTTTAACTTGATCAAACTTGAAATGGCGGTTCATATTGTGAGATAGGGCCAGTACTATCACAAAACTTAAGAAGGCTTTATTAACTTGAAATATGGATTGTTTATGATGTGAACCGAAATTATTTTGGCGATCGCACCCCCCCCCCTGACTGAAAGCTGGCTACGCCCCCGACTTAATACTATAATGAAAAATGAATAAGCCACACAGTGAACAGAATCGCACCCTTGAACAGAATACACTTTTCGGGATGGAAAATCCAAAATGGCCACCTTAACATTTACCCAGAATGCCGAAAAACTAATGAGTTATAAACTTTCATAGGTAGAAACATCCCCGAAAATTTCAAATGAATCCCTCAAACGGTTTGGCTGGAACGAAAAATCCAAAATGGCCGCCTTAACATTTACCCAGAATGCCGAAAAACTAATCAGTTCTCAACTTTCATAGGTAGAAACATACCGGAGAATTTCAAATGAATCCCTCAAACGATTTGGCTGGAAACCTGTAGACAAGCCAATTGACAGACAAGATTTTAGGATGGAAAATCAAAAATGGCCACCTTAACATTTACCCAGAATGCCGAAAAACTAATCAGTTCTAAACTTTCATAGGTAGAAACATCCCTGAGAATTTCAAATGAATCCCTCAAACGGTTTGGCTGGAAACCTGTAGACAAGCCTTGACAGACAAGATTTTAGGACGGAAAATCCAAAATGGCCGCCTTAACATTTACCCAGAATGCCGAAAAACTAATCAGTTCTAAACTTTCATAGGTAGAAACATCACTGAGAATTTCAAATGAATCCCTCAAACGGTTTGGCTGGAAACCTGTAGACAAGCCTTGACAGACAAGATTTAAGGACGGAAAATCCAGAATGGCCACCCTAACATTTACCCAGAATGCCGAAAAACTAATCAGTTCTAAACTTTCATAGGTAGAAACATCCCTGAGAATTTCAAATGAATCCCCCAAACGGTTTGGCTGGAAACCTGTAGACAAGATTATTCGGGATGCCCACCCGCCTGCCCAACCGCCCGCCCGGCAAACTGATTACAATATAGCACCTAAGGGTGCGATAAAAATGCCCATGAATAAATTTCACATCCAAGTTGAGATATATTTCATGAAGTCATATATTAAACAATAAAATGTATTCTATAATAAATTATATATTCTAATAGCTGCCTACATTTCATGTCCTCATTTGATCAGTTTTCTCAATTTTCAACCCATTAAAAATCTTCAATGGAATCACCTTATTTTGGGGACATTAACTTTATCTCAGTAGATCCTAACTGGACCTGCCAAATGATTGCAACTTCACACCCAAAATGACATATCAAATATTCAGATAGGCTCAATTGCTTAAAGTCTGTCATTCAAGTTTGGTATGATTGATTTTCACAACAACTATAGGGTTCATCAGAAAGACACCAGTGCCTACTCTCTACTGTTGTGAGGTTAAATGGTTGAAGCATTTCGATTTATAAACTAAAGTTCCCATTGGTTATTTATATTCTGCATTGATAGCTCGACCAATCAGAAGCCTCCGTACTTCACTGGTACCTGCTCCTATCTCGTAAAGTTTTGCATCACGTAACAGTCGCCCAGTTGGGTAATCATTTATGTAACCATTTCCTCCTATAAATCAAATAAAAAAATATCAAAATCAACAACATTGACAGTTTTTTGTCATTCAGTTCATCAAACCCATATTACGTTCATAACAATCAATAAATTGTTATGAAACCATATTTACTTGTTTTTGAACTTACTAATTATGCTAATGAATAGGTAGACATTAATATATTAAAATTATTTCATTAAACTAGACTCAGACCACAGCAGGGGGTTAATCAAATGCCTACCTATGTGTTTAACAGCAATTTATTGAAATAATTAATATTAATATTTTGTTTATATGGTTTGGGATAACAGCAAAATATCAACCTGGGGGATATAAACAGAAACTTATGAAACTAAGAATTTGAAAGTTCAATATTCTCTTAATATGACATCATTATAACCATGTTTACTACACCACATACATGGTTTCTTACTTAACCAGGCCTCCTAGACTTCCACCAACGCGAAATTAAAGATTTCACTTTCGCGATTTGAGAATCGTGGTTCGAGTGCAAGGAACGTAGTTCGCAAGGTCAGAACTGATGTTTGTGTTGGTGGAAGTCTATGAGGCCTGTTTACTTAGTTTCTGTTAATGCCCCCCCCCCTGGATTTATTGTTCACCTACATAAAATGTAGACATCCAGTGTGAATGCCACATTATACAGAGAAAACACATTTTAGAGAAAACAAAATAAAATCAAGTATATGTTAAATAGTACATAGCCAATCTTCAACTACACCACATAGTACCATTATACTAGCTGATGATACATAGCACCATTGCACAGATTGGGGTGAAAACAATATTTCATTTTACTAAAATGAATCTTTCACAAGTCGTATTCCCAATGACCAAACAAAATATTTGTTTGGTTACATGTATTAGTATGACTAATGTACAGGGTGAGCCAAAAAAATCCACTTTATTATTTCGATATAAATTTTTTTAAAATGCATGGATTTCCATAAAATATAGAGATTTATTTATACAACTTAAGAACAACTGTAAAATTGTGTTTTATGCCAAAATTTCATTGAAAAGTTATATCGAAATGAAAGATGTGTACGTTTTTATGGCCCACCCTGTACACTGACAAAATTGTCTATTTAATTAAACCTTTGCCAACTCACCTAACATTTGTATGGAATCCAGAGCTAGCTGTGTAGCTGCCTCAGCTGCATAAAGTATGACACCTGCACAGTCCTATGAATAGAGCAAAAATATTGTTAGTGTAGAGTCAGTGCTGTATCAATGTTTCTGAACAACCCTACCACCATTCTATAAAAATTAAACCTCTCGATTCGTAAGGGGAAACAAAGTGAACAGCTAAATAGGAAATTCGGTGACGTGTGCACAGTGAACGCTACAAGAATTGAGAAAATATTTTGATGTGGAGTCCTTTGATTTCAACAGTGAAATATTCAAAATGTAAAAATGTATCCCTCAATGTGAGCATACTTCAACAGTGAAATATCCAAAATGTAAGAATGAATCCCTCAATGTGAGCATACTTCAACAGTGAAATATTCAAAATGTAAAAATGTATCCCTCAATGTGAGCATACACCTACAAGAATTAAGAAATTCTAAAAGTAAAATCTGAAAATTTATTTTCTTGAATCACTGCGGGTTTAGGACAATCTTTACATGTTGATCAAAAATACACTTTAGTGTATTTAAAGGTAAGGACATCAAGATCTAATGGATTGGCACTATCTACTAGTCTTTTACCTTTGGAACTCTATTGCCATTGTCCAATGCTCTTGCTACATTGTAGACGTATGACCTTGTTGCATTCAGCTTGGTATACATGTCAGCTATTTTGCCCTGCATAAGCTACAAAACAAAAGTCAGAAAATATCTTACAATTACAATACAATTTTCTGTAATTTGTATCAGGGGAGTTAAAAAATCCAAAGCCCTCTTTCAGAATGTTCTAATAAGCATCTATATATAAAGGAAATCAAACAGGTAGGAGTTAACATTAACAAGATATTGATTTTACTATGATATATTTTTTTAAATAAAGCAATTTTCATCCTAATTTTCGAATTCCAAATTCCAACATTTGCTATAATTGAGAATTGGATGTAGGGAGAATCCTAAAGTTTTTCTAATTTATCTTAATGAGATTGTCTTTCAAAAGTAATAGGCAAAAGGAAAGATTTACTAGGCAAAAAGAAAGATTTACCAGGCAAAAAGAAAGATTTACCAGGCAAAAAGAAAGATCTACCTGAAATGTTCCTATTTTCTTTCCAAACTGTTCTCTCTGATGAACATAGTCAAATGTCACATCACAACATGCTTGCATTATACTGGAAATAACCAAAAGTAAATTAAACAAACCATATATAAACAAAAATGATGCATTAAAATATCAATGCAAGCTACATTTTATGAGTAAAAGTGGGTGATTTTGTATGGTTGATAACAGATTCTAGGTTCATCAATATTAAGTTTCCCTTTTATATGGGCCAGGATGAGTTATGTCAAAATGAAATCCATTATTCATGTACAATGGCATGACAAAAATGTTTCAATTGATTGCTAAACCATGGGACATAAGTCAAAGATATCATGTCACATCAACTGTTTCTTATTCTATTCTCAGTAATTTAAGTAAACCTGAAAAACCTAAATCCCATTTTAACCTTTTCTTTGATTTGAATCTTTAACATAAGATGGGAAATATATATAAGTATATAAATATAATAAATATAAATGTAGAAGTGCAGGTTTGGAAGGCAGAAGGTGTCTTAAATATTACAACTGGGATATAAATAATCTTAACTATGCACAAAGCAGGAAAAGAGAAAGAAAATGAAAATACATTGTAAAAATCTTAAGGTCTACAAAATGAACTTTAAATGGCCTCTTTGTGAATTTAGCTCAATGTTAAACAGTGGCCTGATAACATAGAAATATACCAGGTAGAATATGATGTATTTAAGGGAAAACTAAATATCAACCATAGAACTGAACACTAAAAAATTAAGGCCCAATAAGTATATGGATGCCCCATGGTGCACAAAAAAAAGTCGACAAATGCCCCTGTGAACTAAAAGTACCCCTAGTAGAATCAAGACCCAAACAAATGATCTTGAGGTGAACTTACCCTACAGGGCCTGCAGCTAGGACAAGCCTCTCATAGTCGAGACCACTCATTAACACATAGACCCCATTGTTCAGTTTACTCATCACATTCTCCGCTACAATACACCAAAAGATGTCCTGCTTTATTTTTGAGGGTTGGTCAAGAAGTTTCAGGAATAAAAATTGGTGTGGAGTATTTGTGATTGGTTAATTCTTAAAATTTCACAAACACTCCTCGTTTACTTTACCAGAGTAACACCCATACAAAAACTACACTAACAAGGATATCATGGCCTTACCTGTTTTCAGACATGATATGTGATAAAACAACATAGAAACAGAAATACAACATGTCAGGCCTGTACCTTGATATTGTGACCAATGCAGTTGTCAGAGTTTTTGGCTAATCTTTTCAAATCTCCAATTCCTTGCAATTTTGTTTTTAGATTCTCCAACCAAACATGGCCATTTGATATTTAAAATCATTTAATCTAAATTTGGACTAAGCACAGGCTTGCGTGTTGATCTACTGAAAATAATTAAATGGAGTCTAAATCAAGGCATTTTTGTATTTCACCAGTGCATGTAGCTGAGAATGTAGTGGTTAACAGAAACATGGGGATCAAAAGGAGAAATCACAAGGAGCAGAAATCATAGGGAGCAGAAATCACAAGGAGCAGAAACACTAGAAGCATATCCTAACAAAGCATAAGATCAATACTGTAATTGCAATGGTTATTTTCAGGTAACCTAAGACCATTGAATCAATGAACAGTTTCCAATTTGAAAAAGCTATGAATGCATTTTGTTCTAAAGCCAAATAGCCCTTAGATAGATAGGGGTGTGCTAAGTACTATATACAGGGCTGCCACAATATTTTCATATTAAAAAATCCCTGATTTCATGCCAGTGATTCAAAATTAAAGTAAAGGAGTTAGATTTTCAATGGAAGCATGTATAAGATGTCAGTAGTTTTTTTGTTTTTTTTCTCATTTCATGTATATTTTCAGTTTTGGTCCAACTTTTCGGAATTTCTACCGACTTAAGTATTTTGGTGACCATTTAAGAGTTTCAAAGGTACAAATAATAAAGACAATATATTTTAGATCTCATAAACTTGAACTGTGCTTTAATAGTATCAGTGTTGAAAATGTCCTTCATTACAAATCAATGTGTGGGGTCTCATGAAAATGTGGCTGCTCACCCTAAAGGCCCTGCTGATCCAAGGCCACGTTCAAGGTCAAGGCCACTCATAAGTATGTAAACACCCCCTCCTTGCTTTCCCAATACATTCTCGGCTAGTGAAAATAAAGATTTAGGTTATTAATGACAACTTGATGTTTTACCTGCAAGGTAATTGAAAAAAAACTAGTCTTAACATTTTCACCACTCTTATCAATTCAGCAGAAGAATAAATATATAGTATCTACTATCATTATACTTTGTAATATAATGAATGCTCAACACAAGATTGATAACATTGCTACAACTACAACTAACAAAACAACTTTTTTTGGGGTTGTCAAGTTGGCCGAGAGGGCTTAGGCGCCAGCACGTTCAGGCTAGGCGATTGGGCGCCGTAACCACGAGGTTGCGAGTTCGAGACGCGGTGTGCTCCGTGCGTTTATTCATTTGTGACCACTGTCTGAGCTTTCAGTTGCAGAGGTATTAACCCGCTCTGGGCTCTTAAGGACAGTTGAGCAACGTGTGCATGTGTAGGAATATGTGAGCACAAATGCCAAATGGAAAGGGTGGCTAATTGAAAGGGTAGGGAATGTCAGTTGTGCTTCCTCTGGTGTGTTTGAGCTTTAACATCAGCTGCCCCTAGTCAGATCGACTAACAAAACAACTTTTTTTGGGGTTGTCGAGTTGGCCGAGAGGGCTTAGGCGCCAGCACGTTCAGGCTAGGCGATTGGGCGCCGTAACCACGAGGTTGCGAGTTCGAGACGCGGTGTGCTCCGTGCGTTTATTCATTCACAATATAACAGGTGTCAATACTGAGAATGTATTGGGAGCCTAAGGTATAAAATATCTCCATATTTCTCCCTTTAACAGTCAATTTGTTTTGAAACCCATAAATTTATACTAATAAATGGAGGAACATTGTGGTATGTCTGATTGATCTCATTTTATCTGTATTAACCAAGTTTGACATAGACGAATCAAGATATAAAATAAAACCATTTGTATTATACAATCTAATATTGTAAGGAAATTTATAAAAAAAATTCAATCTGCGGAGGTGTTGCTATCTTTCTGGGATCGTTGACATTCGAATAGTGTTTATTTAATAAAATTATTCTAATTCTTTCATTTCAACAATGTGGAGTCAAGAGACTGAATAGATGTTCAATAACAAGTTTCATAACTTTAAAAAAATACAGTTATTAAGGCAGTACTAAATCCTGAATAAAGAAATTGAAATTGCTATTAGGGATCACCAATACATTCTCAGCTAAAACCACCAACCAATGTATTACCATACTAGACTTAAAGGCCCACTTCGCGTATTTTCAATGTTTTAAGGCAAAATTAAGACTTTTATTTGAATTCTGTAGAATGTCCAATGTATTGATAAGAACCCTATCTTTCATTTGACACCAACAACAGTTCAAATATTTTCAATCTGTCAAGCTTTATATATCAAGTATTTTATCAATATCATTAAAAGATGGCGAAGTTGTTTGTATTACATGATACATTCATTTTTATAGAAGTGTCGCCATCTTTTAAATCAAAAGTAATTAAAAACATGCACTTTGTTTAGCAAATGGGGTTACAAAGAAGATTGGTACAAGACTATTTCGTAATACTAATATAGCTCATGCTTAAAATGTACGTTGACTTTCTTGTGAACTAGCACATGATACAAGGGGTGATCAATTATATACGAGATAGACATTTGTAAGCTTTTTTAATCACCCCTTGTATTAAATGACATGGTGGTGACTCATAAATTGGAAAAATGATATCTGCATTGATAAAACCAGCATGAATTAAAATAAATATACATGTTGTCAAAACATGCATAGAGATACAATGAAACAGGTAGAACATATCAAAATGATTTCACAAAAAGAGTGACTCTATACAAACTTACAATTTAAGGCCATTATTACAAACAATAAACCTAATCAAAAGGGAGGATTGCCTAATCCCAGAATTCAATGTGTTTTATATATAGTGTCTCCTCCTTTCATGACAATATCATTGGAGGGTGATTCATGGGAGACAATCCTTCCTTTCCCCCATACAATTAAGGAAAAAAATACACAAACACTAAATCACAAACAGCTTAAATAAAATGCCAAAAACTGATATGGTCAAAAAATTATCAAATTAAATGTATTTGCAGCTTGTAACTGATGATTCACTTGTTACACAAATGTTACAGAAATAATCACAATAATGGGTTACAATATTGTTTTTCTGAATTCATTACATTTATCTCACCTGGGACGACACAGTTTTCAAACACCAACTCTGCAGTATTGGAACCTCTCATTCCAAGTTTATCTAACTTTGGGGAGGCAGAAAAACCAGGAAAACCCTAAAATTAAATGAACATTGAACAAGGAAGTTAAAATAAGTTGGTAATGCTCGTAATAATGGCCTTCTGGTTTAACACAAATAGCCAGATTGTTACACACAAATACTCAATATACAAAACACAAAGAAGGCTTTAACATGCAAAATGTCATCACCTGCCATTTGTTACAGATGCCAAACACTGACTGCCATAGGCTATCACAAAAAAAGTTGGGAGGCCATAACAATATTTTACCACTTTTTAAATCTATTATATTTTTTTCAATTTGACAGTCTCATTTGCAATTATGATTAGGAATTGTATTTCAAATGTATAGTTATTTACAATGTAAATACAATGTACAATGAACTTATGTAAAACATACTTTGATTTAACACCACATTGTCCACATAAATGGAATATAATAAACATCTGGACTTCATTTCCACAAATTCCATTTGAAAACAATAAGTCCCTGAGATGATAAAAAGAGCAACTCACCTTTTCTATGAGGAAAGCAGTTATACCATGTTGTGCTTTGTCAGGTTCAGTTTTAGCATAGACTACTAACACATCAGCATCAGGACCATTTGTGATCCAGAACTTTGTCCCGTTTAACACATAACTGTCTCCTGAAATTAAGATACAAATAATGGCAATCAGGGGTTTCATAAGAAGCAGTCACTTAGAACTTATGAGCAGACAATATGGCTGTTTTGTTGACTAAAAAGTATGTAAATAAATTTTAGGGGCCATTCTCACTTGATACACAAGGGTGGGCCCTGACAACATCTGACCCATAAGGAGCCCATAACTGACCAATATTTACTAACCTTGTGCATCTGCCCTAAGTCTTAAACTGACATCTGACCCATAGGAGACCCATAACTGACCCATATTTACAAACCTTGTGCATCGGCCCTGAGTCTTATACTGACAACATCTGACCATGAGGGACCCATAAATGACTAATTTTTCAAACCCCATGCCTCTGCCCGGAATGACCCATAAATGAGTCCCAAACTGACTTTTGACCCATTGGGGACCCATAAATGACCCATATTTACTAACCCTGTGCCTCTGCCCGGAGTCTCATACTGACAACATCTGACCCATAAATGACACATTTTTCAAACCTTGTACATCTGCCCTGGGTCCCAACTGACAACATCTGACCCATTGGGGACCCATAAATGATCCGTATTTACTAACCCTGTGCCTCTGCCCTGAGTCTCATACTGACAACATCTGACCCATAAATGACACATTTTTCAAACCTTGTACATCTGCCCTGAGTTTCATACTGACTTTTGACCCATTGGGGACCCATAAATGACACATATTTACTAACCCTGTGCCTCTGCCTTGAGTCTCATACTGACAACATCTGACCCATAAATGACACATTTTTCAAACCTTGTACATCTGCCCTGAGTTTCATACTGACTTTTGACCCATTGGGGACCCATAAATGACACATATTTACTAACCCTGTGCCTCTGCCTTGAGTCTCATACTGACAACATCTGACCCATAAATGACACATTTTTCGAACCTTGTGCATCTGCCCTGAGTCTCATACTGACATCTGACCCATAAGGAGCCCATAAATGACACATATTTACTAACCCTGTGCCTCTGCCTTGAGTCTCATACTGACAACATCTGATCCACTTCCTGCTTCACTCATAGCCAGGGCTCCAATATGTTCACCAGATATTAACTAGAAACAAAAGTTGATCATTGATATGTCATATAGCATGCCATCTTTTTTATCAATCATTAAATTTGTGTTTTAATACATTAATAGTAGTACTATATATATTTAAATACTAATCTTGTTTTATTCATGATTCTTCTGATGTCTATGGATCACTCAAAATATTAGTGGTCTTTAAGTACTGTACATGAATTGAAGTGAATAAACTCTAATTTCTATTTCTATGACAATTTAAGTTAATTCAACCTAATATCCTACCTTAGGTAAATATTTATCTCTTTGTGCATCTGATCCATTCCTGACAATCTGGTTTACACAGAGGTTGGAGTGAGCTCCGTAACTAAGGGCGATTGCTGCAGATGCCCTTGACATTTCCTCCATGACTATTACATGTTCCATATAGCCGCATTCTGAGCCACCATATTTGGCTGCGATAAAATAATATGACTATTACATGTTCCATATAGCCGCATTCTGAGCCACCATATTTAGCTGCGATAAAATAATATGACTATTACATGGTCCATATAGCCGCATTCAGAGCCACAATATTTGGCTGCGATAAAATAATATGACTATAACATGGTCCATATAGCCGCATTCAGAGCCACCATATTTGGCTGCGATAAAATAATATGACTATAACATGGTCCATATAGCCGCATTTAGAGCCACCATATTTGGCTGCGATAAAATAATATGACTATAACATGGTCCATATAGCCGCATTCAGAGCCACCATATTTGGCTGCGATAAAATAATATGACTATAACATGGTCCATATAGCCACATTCAGAGCACCCATACTGGGCTGTGATAAAATAATATGATTATTAAATGGTCTATATAGCCACATTCTGAGCCTGGTGAGCCATTATACTAGGCTGTGATAAAATAATATGGCTATTACATGGTCCATATAGCCACATTCTGCGCCATCATACTTGGCTGTGATCAAATAATATGACTATTACATGGTCTAAATAGCCACATTCAAAGCCACCATACTGGGCCTTGATAAAATAATATGACTGTTACATGGTCAATATTAGTGGTGTCAATTAACCGCTTGAGCATTAACCGGTTAACCGGGGGTTTTTACCGGTTAAAGTCGGTTAACCGGCGGGAAATTTGAACTGATAATTTCAAATGAAATCTTCATCTTCGATCTTGAAAGTTGAAAAAAATTGGAAAAATGATATATCGGCGTTTATTTTTACGTGCGTCAAGCTTTACTCTATTCTATGTAAGTAAGCGCGGGAAAGCAATGTGGCAGGAATTAAAGTTGCTGATTGGATGTTTGTAAGGAATTATCGGACCTAGCACATGTATGAGTAGCTCACATGAAACTGACGCTTGAAAAACAAACAGATTAAAATGCAAAGTAAGCGCGGGAAAGCAATGTGGCAGGGATTAAAGTTGCTGATTGGATGTTTGTAAGGAGTTATGGGACTTATGAGATGTATGAGTAGCTTACGTGAAACTGACACCATAAAACCAAACGGATTAGCATGCAAAATAAGCGCGGGAAATAACAGAATTATACACGGTCAACTAACCGCCCATAAAAACACAGACCGGTCAAGGCATTATCGGCGGTTAACCGGTTAACCGGTTAATACTTGACACCTCTAGTCAATATGACCACATTCTGAGCCATCAAACTTGGCTGTGATAAAATAATATGACTATTACATGGTCAATATAGCCACATTCTGAGCGATTAAACTTGGCTGTGATAAAATAATATGACTATTACATGGTCCATATAGCCACATTCAAAGTCAACATACTGGGCTCAGCGGGCTGTGATAAAATAATATGACTATTACATGGTCCATATAGCCGCATTCAGAACCACCATACTGGGCTGTGATAAAATAATTGAACTATTACATGGTCCAGATATTCTGAGCCACCATACTTGGCTGTAATAAAATAACATTAATTTGATATAATTAAAAGGTACTACAAAACCATTGTTCTACACAAGCTCATTTTCACAATTACAACCAAATTTTGTCAAAACATGTCAATTTAACATTTACAATTTGGTACAAATGAATTTTCAGGTATATATTTTTAGTTGAAAATACTCAACATACCTGGAGCAGTCATACCCAGAAATCCCATTTCTCCACATTTTTTCCAAAAGTCCTAAAATAAAAATAAAAAATAGAATGTTTAAACTGAAATTTGTATAATAAATAAATAACTTTTTTCAATCAATAGACAATTGCGTTATGTACCTCAAACACATTTAAATACAGCATAAATGTATTTCATTGATACTTTATATCAATGTCTAAATTTCATTGTGTAAAATGGTGGTTAAAATAATTTCCCTCGGGATCTCATGCTCTTGGGCGGATACATTATTGACCTTGAGATAATCCCAATATCCCGAAACTCATATATTAAACTTCCAATGTATAAAATAGTACTATGTATTCTAATAGTGTAATGAATCTGCACAATACACTGTGTAATCAGAGAATACCACTATAATAGGTACCCATTTGAACTATTACCTTGATATCAGCAAATGTATTTGTTTTGTCTATCTCGTATGCTTTTGGTGCAAGTTCTTTCTGTGCAAAGTTGAAAGCTATTTGGCGCAACTGAAAAATACAAAAAGTATTTATGTTTATACCATAATACCTTAATATTCTTACTTCAATAACAAAGAATGTAATGGATATTGAAAAAATCTTCCTTAAAAATTCTTCTCTGTACTGGAGCCATGCCTTAATGAAGGTCAAGAAAACATGGGTTTAAAAGTCAAAAGCAAAATATGAAAATTCTTACTCAACTTAAAATGCATATCTGATGGAAAAGCACAGGCAGGTGTGGTGAGATAAACATTAAATTTCTGTAAAAATAAGTTGGAAGCCTGGTGTGTTTTGATGTGTATTTTCAAAAAAATTCTGATAAACAGATACATTGAATACCACTTCACGATTTCAAGTATGAAGACTCCTTCACACTTCAAAGTCCAATTTGACAATCAATACTGTGTTTATAAATACTTACATACCATTGAATTCTAGTTGGCATTTAAACCTTGTAATACATACTGTACTCCCAGTATTTCTCGCCTGTGATTTAGTTTTGCGCTTTCGCGATTGTGGTAAATGTGAAATTTTTTTTATTACCTGGGACTCCATTGCATTTCGTGTTTTGTGACACTTTTGTCAAGTGTTTTAGGCGATAAAAGTGATAGTAGGTAACAATGTCTGTTAAAGTGGCTAATTGGATCAAATAAACCAAAAAATTACAACGTAATAGAGGTTAAAGAGCAGCATGTCATTGGCTGAGATGACATAGTAGGAGGCGTACTTATTGAAATTCGCGAAATTTAATAGCCGCGAAATCCTGTTGAAAGTTACAAAATCCTTCGTTTTAGGAGTGCCTTTCAAAGTTATTTTAATCACCTTAATTAATAACCCATTAATTGGCTGACCTTGACCTTTTCTTATGACACATACACTCCAATGACACCAAATTTGTAAAACAGAAATACTGATGTATTGACCTTCAAGACAGCCTTGATCTTTAGTCATGAATTTAACCTTCAATAACATTAAATTGAAGAAGAAAAGAAATATCTTCATAATGTCATTAAATAAATGACCTTATAATGTACCTGATTTTAAAATATAGAATGAACTTTTATTTACTAATTTTTTTTTTGCTTCTTCTTTGAAAGCTTGAATCAAGCTCTCAGCATATAATTCTATGTTAAAACCTTATACTGTAATGATTTATTATAAACAAATAATTGATCAGCAGCTGAACCACTCTCTCCAAGAGAACAAGAAAAAAAAAATAAAAAAAAATAATTATATCATGGGTTATGAAAAAGACCAACAGTCAACAACCAACCATTACAGCCAACCACCGACCATTACAGCCAACCACCGACCATTCATTCTCCAAAGTTGGGTACACATGGCCGGTAGTTGAATGTCGGTCTTTCATATAAATATGACTAGATGCAAAATTAGAATGAGAAAATAAAACTAGGAATCCAATGACTATAGTACCTTTACAAGGTTGTGATTAAAATGCGCATGACCACTTTAAATAACGATAAAAACATAACATCTTTTTGGTCTGTAATGTTTTATATTTTAAGTGATGTCTCAATTCTTATAGGACAAATTTCATTCTAGTTAGTCACTTTGGATCATGATGAGAAAATGTGGAATGGTAACCATTCTTATAGAAAAATAATAAATTAAGTATAGTAAAAATCTTTAGTTTTCCTGAAATAAAGTGTGCACTTTGGGGATTTTTAGAAAATAGACAAGAAAAGGAATGACATAAGCCAGAAATATTCCAGAATTGAAACAATTTTTTGTGAGGCTGCTCGCTAGATCTGATTCTCTCTTTAAATATCAATCTGCTAAAAATTACATTCAATAAGACAAAAATAGCTTTACAATGGTGTACTTAAAAGGTTAGTCACTTAAATCCTGACAAGAGAATGCACATAACATTACATCATGTTCAGTAATCAGTATGACTATAACAAATCCTAGAAATACGTAATTTTCATAAAGATAGGCCTATGTTGAATTCCAGTAAAAATAGGATAGATTCCCGTAAAAACGCAAGTTGGCAGGTAACCTTAAGTGATTGCTTGTCTTTTTTTTTAACCAATTTTATCGACAAAATAGTTAAAAACGTTGCCTGTGAGTGACATGTATTCAAAATTGAATTATATAAATAATTAGGCTACAAATATGGTCCGTCTTTTACAGATGATATGGTCGGTCTTCCACACATTTTTCTCAAACCCTGTTTTGAGGCTAACTCGTAGGCTACCTGTGGAAAACACCGACCGGTCAGTGGGGTCAGTCTTTTTCTTTCGTAAACCGTTTTATAAACTTTGCCAGCGGTGGTGTTTTTAAATTAATGAGGAACCCAGATCATTGCCTTAACTTACTAGATATACAATGTACTGTAGTTTGTGAATCAAACTCAAGTGAAGTTTAGGCTAGTTTCGTTCAATAAAAAAAATAAATAAGTCAGTCACCTGCTTTTGTTCTTCAGTCAGTCCGAACATGTCATCGTCGATTGGATGGAAGGAACATGACCTTTTACTTTGTTTTGATGTCTTTGCTGCGTGTCTGTAGCATGAATGGCTCTGTAAAGACCCTAAAACTCGTTTCGAAAATATTCGACCAGCCATTTTTCTATATTTTCTTCACAAGAACATATAGACTATATTACAAAATAATCGCTTTAGCGAAATAAAGTATGGCTTGCCAATACCAGTTTATCACCTTTCCACAAAGTCAGCTCATGAATATTATAATGGGCTGCTTAAAAATCTGTGACGTCAATGACTGAAACTTTTTCCCGCGAAAAACAAATGCAATTGAGTTAACATGTAAATCCTCGGTTGATTGCTGTATGTTTTACCTCTTCAAATGTGCAAGTAATCAGTAAATTATTGACGGATTTTTATTGAACGTCAAATTGACATTTATTTACGCCTTCTAAGCGATTTGAATATTAAATTTCTGTTCATAATGAGTAAATAATTTGAAGAGAATTACTCCCGGTCAGTTTTCAATCATGATAGGAACTGGATGTGAACAGGTGAAATTATCATAATCATTAGTTCACCAACATTATAACATGTCTCTTATGCATAAAAATATATAGATAGACAATCTATTTTAAGTTAATTTTCAGTGTCATTTGATGAATGACCTGTTCAAATTAAAAACATTTGCTCTTATTCATTAAATCATTGACTTCACTACTTCCATAATTCAATCAACTAAACGATTACTTCCTATTTATTTCTGCATCAGATCGTATCTTGAAAATATTATACTTGAAAACATTGGGATATAGAATTGATTTCTTAGAGGAGCGTGACATATAGAGATTATCCTACATGAGGTTCAGGATATTGGGATTATCCCGAGGCAATTATAATATATCTGCCCGAGGGCCGAAGGTCCCGAGGGAAAATATATTATATTGGCCAAGGGATAATCCCAATATCCTGAACCGACTATAGGATAATATGTTTATCCCATACCAATCTTGGTCATCTGATTCACATTGTTCAATCGTGGAAATATTTTAGAATATTCATTTTTGTTTATTCAGTTCAGAATATTCAGTTTTGTTTTCTTGGCCGTGGGCGGATTTTCCTGTTCTCTCAAATATTCCCAATATACGTCCAATATACGTCCAAGGATGGATTAAACGTGTATATATATTCCAATGTATATTTCCCGCTGCGTATCTCCCGATCCAAATTTATTTTATTCAGTGTAGAAACAGTCAATTTGTTAAAATATCTTGCTAAAGCAAAACTGTCAAAATAGATCCAGCAGACCGTAGAATTTTTCTTAACCAAAATGATGATGGATTTCTCGAAAATAATGAGAATGAGAACGCTTAATAGAAATCAAACATGGATATGGGTGTCCTGATTTCACTTGTGAAACCTCACTTGTCATTGGATAAATTAGTTATGTGATGATCGGTTTTGAATAATGATGACTGGGAAGATTTCAGAGAAAGAGCATATAATATAATGTTTATTGATGATATGTTGACATTGCTGATCATTATTGACATCGCTGATGGCGAATAAATACCAAAAGGTAACGCTTTGCGCGAATGTCACTCATGGTGAATTTCTGATGGAACTTCTTACTACGACATAATAACCATTTAACAGGATAGTGTATGACCACTATCAGATAATTTAGCCGATGTTTGTAACTTCACAATTTACATTTTTTGTTTACAATCGCACAAGACACGTGAGCCCGTATGTGAGGCTGATCTGAGAAGTCTTAATAAACAATAGTTCTGTAAAAAAATGATTAAATTAAATTACATAAGATTCGGAAAGAAAGTGCCCCGTCCATATTTCATATTTGCTTAAAAATAATTAGTACGTTGGGCAAATAGAATCCTTTTTATAGCAGTTAATTCAAAATATTCCTATGCTGGCTGTACTAATTCTTCAAAACTTTCCATCATTGACGTCATTGATTTGACTCATTTGCATACAACCAATCAGCGCGCCCTAAATTATCGATTTTCTTTACTTTGTGGAAAGGTGAATTCGGCTTAATTTATCCATGGGCTTTCATCAAATCAAGCAAGGAGGATAATCATGAATGACAATAATTCTGATTTCCAAAAATTATAGCCGTCAGAACATGGTTGAGTCAAGGATGAAGATTTGTAAAGGTCAATCCCTGGAAACCAATGGCAGCAGGGCGGATCTAGGAACCAAGAAGGGGGGGGGGGGGCCAAATGTCAGGTCTGAAAAAAACGGGCCGAAATTTGGAAATTTTGAGGCCTATTTTCTTCAAAATTTGGCCTGAAATTAAAATAAGGCCTTGAAAGGCCCAGTAATGACCAAAAGGCCCACTTTTTAGGGCCTGGAGGCCTTGTTTGGCCCAAATAATTTTTTGGGCCCATGCCCCCCCCCCCCCCCCACTAATCCGCCAGTGAATGGCAATGTGAATGTACAACTTGATATACAACTGAAGTTGGATTAAAAATAGATATTTCAATTGCAATACAAACAATTTGATAACACTTTGTAGCTTTTGGGTTAAAATTATAAAGTCTTTGATTAACCAAATGGGAACAGGATTTATTGGAAAGGAATGTCTGATGATGAGCCATCACACAACTTGATTCACATTTAATATCCAATTGTGTAAGGGTCTGTCACATAAACCACAAACTAGGCATTTATGTCAAATAGTTACTTTTTTATTTACTATTTTATTTTACTGATTTTATCAAATAGGTGTAATATGGAAATATGCCCTCATGATGAAACATATTCCATCTGATGACACATATTCCATCTGGTGACACATATTCCATCCGATGACACATATTCCATCTGATGACATATATTCTTTATGTCGCTTGTGTATTATATGCGCATTGAAAGCAGAGGGGATTATAGATAACGAATTCATGACATGTTGTACTAGTAATTTAAGAGGAACAAAGAGATAAATATGGTTTATGTACTATTACATCATGTCTACAATGTATATACGATGATAAAGGCAATCATATGCCTATAAAGGGTATATAGCTAGGGTACAGTTTAATATTCATAACTTCTAACTCACTAATAAATTCAAAAATTGCATTATCAATTTTTTTATTCTATTTTCTTATTCCAGGTTTGTGTACAATTTTCAATTAAAGAGGACATAGGGGCATTCTCAGCCATGGGGTATTCCCGGACAAACTCTCGGTATCAAGTGAATATCCGCGACATTGTTAGACTTTTTACAACATATACATGTATCACCACATTGATAATATGATGTGTCTAATTTGAAGCTTCAACAAAGGAACCAAATAAAACAATGAAATATTGAAGATCATCCGACAATGCCCCATGTCCGAGATTATGTCCTCTGGTCAAATTTTTAAAAATCTACTCGTTTCAAATTTCCTGACTTACTTTTGACTAATCTTTCTCAGAGTCCGATGATTTTTAAATTCATTTCATAAATTTTCATATCATAATTTATTGTACATTTAGTCACATTATACACACAAGGCAAAATATATGATAAACAAGCTTTTATAAAAACAAGAAATATTGCATAGATGATAAAGAATATGACATTTATGGTTATTATCATACAGCAGAGTTTCCCTCAGAACAGTTGGGCTTGTGAGATCATGAATCACAATAGTTATCCATTAATGTATTTTTTCCACAGCTTTTGAAGCAGTCCTATATGCAGATATAACTCACATAATCAATATATATTATAAAAGCAAAGCATTCTTGTGATTTTCATAGAGTGTATGAAGCAGTCATCTTATTTCTCCAGCTTTTGAAGCAATCATACTGTAATTTCATATTCTGCATTTCTTATAGCAGTTACTGGTATGCATTTCTCCAGTTTTTGACAGAGAGCAATGGTATTATAATTCTGTAATTGCAGTTGTAGCAGTCATACCATTTTACTGTAGTTTTTGGAGCAGTCGTGTCATTTTACTGCAGTTTTGTAGCAGTCGTGTCATTTTACTGCAGTTTTTGTCGCAGTCATTTTTTACAGCAGTTTTTGAAGCAGTTGGTGCATTTCTTTTGGTCATAACCCTATTGTGATACTATAACTATTGCATTTACATCAGGATTTATCATCTGTCATTTCAACACAGTTTTCTGATTCCAGTGGAGGTTTCGCTCTTGCACCCAAAGCATTTAGCTCATTTCCAGTTGCCAATAGTTCTTCAAGCTTTTTCAAAGGAGTGTCAACATAGACCATCAGCCATTCCTCTATAGTGTCACCATCAAATACCTCTCTCAGGCCTGGCTCGATGAATTTTTTGAGATCACAGAACTTTTCATGTAGGCTGAAAAATAGGGTGTCATATTGAATATAATAGTGTCATTTCAGAAAGAATGAACTGTCATTTAAGAAGGTGTGTCATGTTTAGAAAGAATGAACTGTCAAAGAAAGAGGGGTGTCATATTAGAAAAATAGGGGTGCCATAATGAGTATACAATATATTCAACAGAGCATTCAAAATTTGTCACAATTTTATTTTTTAACCAGCTATTGCCAAATTTTACATATTTATTTGCATATTAAACCAATAATTGTACAAGTGTAAAAGGAATTTTATTTGATAATTTAATGGGATTTTACCTTTTTACTATTCCCATGATGTACTGAATATGTACAGGGTTTGCATATCTGTATTTTATATGATATTCTGTCATCCAACCCTGGTATCTAGAACAATAAAAACAAGGCATTAACATGCAAAATGTCACAACCTGCCATTTGTTACAGATCCTGAATGTCAACCGCCAAACAACAACCACTGAACATCAACCACCAAAAGCCAACTGCCGAACACCATCCAAGTTGGAGACTATAACAATAGAGGAACAAGGCACTGACATGCAAAATGTCACTACCTACCATTTGTTACAGATCCCAAACACCGACCACCACCACAAATCATTTTCCTTATCTCTTTAAGAATAATAAAAACAATACCCCTTGGATGCCATGTAAAAGGGATATACAGGGTTATCTGGCTATGATGTGGTGTTAATTAATTGTCATATTCTGTCAATTACAGTAAAGCCTCTCATCCGATATCCAAACACAACTAGGACTCGACAAAAGTGTTCCGATAGGCAGGTGTTCCCTTTTCTATGTTGTTTAATCGATAGCAGATTTAAGAAATGGGACTGTAAGAGGTACAGATTGAGAGGTGTTCAGATAAGAGAGATGTTGGGATGTACAGGTTTTACTGTAAATCCATTCCTGGTGCGACTCAGCACTACAAACAGGGAATCAATTTGATGTGTGTGTGACTATAAACATCTGAGGCACAAATCAATTTGATGTGACTATACTATGATATTGATAATGTCTAAGACACCAGTCATACATGTGCTCATTTAAAGGAAATCAAGATTTCGATAAAACTACATTTTAATTTATATTCACCTGTCATTTTTCATGAATGCACTGTATTCATCATGTAGATGCACCAATAGAGCAACTCCACAGTATATTACCCCACCAGGGAAACTGCACTCGGGGATAGGAGAGAGGCTGAAAATAATCATAGGATGGTGTACTATAGTGTCAAAAAATAATTCCTGTATACAGTAGTTATGGGTGATAGATAAGAAAGGAAATGTTCAATCACTCCCATTCTAATGAAAGAAGGTTAACTTAATTTTAGACCTGTTTTTGAAGACACAATCAAAATATACATTTTCAATCATATTTATTATCAAAATGGGATAAAAGATTTACTTGAAGCATGAAACTGTGATGCAAATTCCAAACACTTTTGCTGTTAGCTTTAAGAGAAAAATATCCAGGAAAAACTATCACCTGAATGAAGAAAACATATTTTGAGCCTTTTTATACCAGTAAATCGTTTGCCCCAAAGAATGCAAACCTACACAGCCAATATAATTCGGCGTCGCCTCGACATCGAAAAAATTTGGCGCTGTTCCGGCACCGTTTCGACACCGTTCCGGCACCGAAACCTTTCGACACTAAAATTTGCCACCGGACTAGTCAGTCCATTTGGTGCCGAAACGGCCCAGAAATTTGGCACCGAAACGCAGTCGAAAATCAGATTGCATTTTGGGGGTGTACATGTATGAGTAAGAACTAAAGACTTACATATCAAATGGGTTCAGGGGTAAGAGTTCTTGGCATCCTAAGTCTTGACTAACTTTGGTATGAGTTGCAACTGTAAATGTGCCTACAATCAGAGCTTTTATACATGTATATTAGATACCAGAAGGATTTAACATGCAGAAAAACCTGTTGAAGTGGAACACCTTTGGACTTTGATGCCTTTGAAGTGTTCTACTACAAGGTGTTCCACATTTTCTTTTCTTCCGGCACAAGTTTTTCTACTTTAATATAATATTATGTATATTGTGTATAATGTAAAGGAAATAAATGGGCTATAAAAGCCGAAAAAAAAATAAAAAAGGTGTTCCACATAGAGTTGTCCATTTTACATCTTGCCAAATAATCATTTTAATATTCCACTTATGGAGATGTTCCATTTAAGGTGGGACCCGGTCCGTCAGCATACCCAGCACGATACCATTGCTTAATTATTAATGTAGTTTTTCAAGCTCAAAGACACCCATACATACGAATAATTATGATGTAATAATAATACAAATGTATTTAAATATTCATGTACGAAGAAATATTTGCATCTTCGGGCATTCATAGTTGGGAGATTTAGCGTATTGCATTTGAAATATCTGAGCGCTAGTAACGTCATGGTTTCTATGACATGGGAAAACAATGGCGCTCAAATTTTACGTGCAGCATCATGAAGTATATGGCGATGAATGATTGAATTTTTCTAAGTCATATTGTTATAATTCTTTCAAAATATAGTAAAACTAATTAATCTAAAGTACATATTTTGTTTGTTCTACATTAACAGCATACGAAAAATATGATGTGATATAAACACTAGTTGAGTCCTGATCACTGTGTACATGGTTACCGACACGTCACATCTAATGTTGCTCAAAATATAATTATGTTTCTCGTCGCACTATTTATATTTGTAAATACGTATTACTCTGTATTTATGTTTAATAAATTCAAAAATGACTTTTGTTCGTTATATTACTTCGTAAAATTGTATATTCTCTTATCTGTAAAACGTTTTAGATTATCACTTTCGCTTTCGTATGAGCTTCGTCTAGTTATATTTTCTTTGCCTTTTTTATTTACATTTTTATATATGAATTGTTAATTCGTCATGCTAAAATGTTTGATAAGAGATATCTTAACATCCGAGAATTTTTAAAACCGAGTGCAACTGGCCCAATGGCAACACAATCAATGCCCAATGTCGGGAAGAGTGCAATAATGAGTGCGAAGGGGCGTGTCCCGAGGCGTGTTATATGTCGCCAGTTGAGTCCCCGGGGTTGAGACAAAATGCTGTATAGGTTTACGGCGACTGATCGTCGCTAATGAAGGCGTTATGAAGGTATGTACTTAGAATTATTATTAAAATGAAAAACATACTGGCAAGTTACGTCTTTGATAGAGTGCCTACACAACAGGCGGAAAGTGGCTTGAGACTGCAAATTAGCCGAACAATCAGAATGCCTGATTTATCAGTATGTCCTATAAGCGCATACTCTTTGATTCTCGAGAAACGTCTCCACGCTCGAATTTCACCTATCTAACACTAGTGGATCGCTTTAAAAGTGATACTATCGAGAAACGTGTTTGGTCAGCTTCACGATGACATTATTCTTTTAGAAATCGACAGAGAAATAGAGAAGAAAAAGATCGAGTATGTGCCATTTCTAAAACGTCGAGTTTGAAAACCTAAAAGTGGATTCGGACTGCAAGAAATCCGACCAATCAGAAAGCAGCATTTCTTAAATGAAACTTGGAATTCAAGCAATCGGCTTTACCCTCGATTTCCTCCGTTTTCTCGCAGTTCATCACCACAAAAATGGCACCACATGGAAGACATCGTTCCACTCTAAACCATGGTATTATTTATTAAGAAATCAGTCAATAAACAGCGGAGCCATAAACAGATAAATGCAATTTCTTAAACAGGCAGTTTAGACTGAGAATAGTGGATTCAGACTGCAAAAACTTTATGCAAATTAGCTAGTTCACTCTGGGTTAGTAGGTCGCATATCTAGGTTAGTAGGTTAGCTCTGTCAAGGCCGCGCGTATATCGCTATATAAACAGATCTCGGTCAGCTCGACTGCATTATTCCGACTGAAAAAGTTGTAATGACGAGAGTGGAGAATCATGTCTGGCTATAGTAAAGGTACCTAAAAACATGAAATATTCGCGCACGGCAATCCATCTCATCGTATTCGTATCCACTGTACTTTTCTAGAATCAAAATATTTAGGAAAAGTTATGAAAAGATGTTCTATCAATTTCAAATTAGAAGAGGTGTTAAAAGATTAGAAGAAGAATTCATCAATGTAAATTGATGTTAACGCCCATGGTAATTTTGTTTTGCAAAATATTTCTTATCACCAATATTGAAGGAAATAAAAGAACTGCAATTTAGCTTACAATATAAGGTACTTTAAAACAAGATATTGAGACTACGATTTTTATTTTCATTTTTACAAAACTCTGAGATAAGCTGGCATCACCATGGCGTATAAATGTTGAAGTTAAAATAACTATCAAGCCGTTTTCTGTTTCCCTGTACTCAGAGTCTAGTTTTAAACTAGACGAAGCTCTCTTTAGAGAAGCGGGCTGAAGAGTAAAGTAATATATGGTTTTCCATAGGATCTTTTATGTTTTGTACACACTTCATTGTAACTTGTGTAAGCTACTCATTCGGTGAACTAACCATCGTACTTGTTGCCGCAGACATTGGGTACATCCCGATCGCGCTATTTATTTTGTCATTCAATAATGACGATCATACCACATATGATATGCTTGACTGTTTGTTGTACGCGAGTGCCGACTTCTTGCTGATGAAACGTGAGTTGACAAAACGATATTACACATCAACAAGCGAGAACAACGTACCGACGTTTATTAACTTGTACGTACATCAATAGTACTCGAGCCTTATCGTAATGTATTTTAACTAAATCAAGTCAGACGTGCACAGTTTATTCGACAAATAAGGCTTTCTGATTTAAATATTAACCGGTGATTACAAACGTTTGATGATCACCTTTACTTAGTGAATTGCCAAAGTGCGCGATCGGCGATCGGCGGAGCTTCTGTTTTTACATCATGAAAAATCAAAATAAAGAAGGGCCATGATAATGGGCAATACTTACCTGAAGATAAAAAAGACGATATGATTCAATGATATGATTTGACACAACGTATACGTAATTTAATCTCGGCACATGAAAAAAAACAAAAGTTTCCTTTTACTTACATCAATACTTAAAATAGCAGGTAGATGAGGCGATAATTTAATTAATAGTTAGTTAATTTGCGATCGGCCGCTGTTGATTTAGCACGTTATTTACGGTCTTTGTACTAGGCCTATACGACGTCCTTGATTCTCAAAGACTGTGGGACGCTTAACTTTAGTGGTAGTAATTCATACCGTTTGACTTATATTCAAAATCAACTAACTACATTTGATTTAGCAAGGCTAAACCCCATTGTCCTGGGAATCGTCTTTATCTTTGTCGGATCATTCAGGTGAGAAATTTATGACGTAATTCAATTGTTCTCTCCGCCAACGGATGGAATTGGATGCCGGTCTTTTCTCAAAATACAAAGTACTTTGACTGAATACCCTGACTACAATTTTTGTAATCTTTTTACAAAAAACTAACATAAGCATAATCATATTCCAAATAAAGAAATGATGAAATTTAAAAGAAATCTATCGAGCCGTTTTTCTGTAGATTGAGATCTCCCGAGGGTAAAGTAAGTGTATGGTTTTCCCATAGGATTACATGTTAAATATGACAATTTAATCAGCATAGGCTCCTCAAAAATACGATCTTTGAACCTTGCTTACTATATCTAAACTTATTTTTTTCTGTTTAAAATTTCTGCAGCTTATGTACACCACTTGTTTACACACACTGTGCGATTTTCAGGAAAATCTATCGAGGATTTTTTTTGGCTGACGGACCAGGTCCCACCTTAATATGCTTTACGGTAAACCATGTGCCAAATATAGAATTAACCCTCCTCATACCATGGGACTATCTTACAAGATGCAAGTTTTATTTTTGAGTTTTAAGTTGTCTTCAAAATAGTATATTTTAGACCTCAAATTTTACTCTTTTTGCGAAAAAGGCATCTCATCCAAAAAAATCCGCTATATCGCAAAAGGTTTTAGATGTTCATTATTTTGAGTACCTGTTAAATCATGGAAATACTGTAACAAATTATTGTCATAAAATATAATGTTGTGGCTCGTGTCGTCTAGTGGCAGTAACATAAAATGTTAGTTTGATTTCTATTTCTTTTATTGTTCATTGATTAATATAACTTTACATGTCCTAAGTAATTTCCTGGTTGTAACCGACTGATTATACTCTAAAACTCAACAACTGAATCTTACTCTGCAAAATCACACTGTCTCTAATCAACTCTAAAATCAACTTCACTGAGGCTACACAATTCTTATTTATATACAGCCTGTTTTTGGCAAAGAGCCAGGTTGGCAAATAGCCAACTGGCACCAGGCCAACTGGGCATGAAGCCAACTGGCACTGGGCCAAATGGATAAATAATCAAATATACAATAAAAACATGGGTTCAAAGCAAGGGGAGATCTCCGACCACTCCAGGAAACCCACTAGATCAAAGTACTTATCTTTATTACAGTTGGTTTCCTAGAGGTGTGAAGTGACATGGATGGTCTTATGTAAAGTTACAATTAAATTGAATGATTAATCCCCAAGAGCAAATATGCATTCAGTGATAACCCTCTCCCTATTTCTGAGTCAGTTTTAACCCCCTTCCTTTCCTTGACCATCTTTGTTACATTCCCCCCCTACTTTGTAATTATTTGTCCCAAATAAAATAAGGTATATAATGCAGTATACTTGCTGTTATAAATATACTTATGTACTTAAAAATAAACAACAGTGGATCAATTGACCAAACTATACCACTAAATGCAAAATTAAATTCCCAACATTATAATATAATTATTCAATACCATTGACTGACCTTGAGCATCCTAATTGCATTTGGCAATCAGACATTTAGGCAAATAAATCCTACAGACACAACTGGATCACCTT